TATATATATATATATATATTACTTTATTATTATTTTTCGTTCCGTCCGGTAGCGGGCGGTCCGCGTACCGGTATGCTGTCGGACCGGTACGTACCACCCGTACCGGGTGGTATCATTCAATATTGCCTTCCTTGGATATTTCAGACTTACATATTATGATTCAAGTCTAATAATTTGGATTATGCATCATGAACCATTCTCTGGATTTGTAGTAACGTGTTATTGGACTAGCTTGCTACCAGACTCGCTGCATATATTATAATCGTACCAAAGCAACTCTATAGGCTTCTACACAAGTGAAGTTGACATCTACATGCAGCACATTAAGCAGAGCAAGACTATTAGATACATGGAAGAAATTATCCAGTTCGATCCCACACAAAATGTCATGAAGTTCTACAGGCTATATATGTTTGCCAACAATAATTTGAAAAGCAAAGATAACGGAGTAATAGTTTCATATAGTTTCATGTCAGACAATCCTAAGAAGATAATTGAATCTAGATTATTATCTACTGCCAACATTTTAAACTTGAGCATTTCTAACAACAATGATAAATCCCACTCCATATAAGTTAATAAGTCAACATGGCTACTTAGGATGTTACGATGGAGGACACCAACAAGGTGTAAAATTGGTCAATGGATAATAATTGATAAACCTGTTGTTTTAATTGATTTTAAGCAGAAGCCATAGAAGATAAAATATGAGTTAAGTAAAACAATAAGGGTAACAAGAGAGAAGATAGAGTATACTGAGAAAAATTAGTGGCCTGCACTGCAGCACAAAATGTTTTTTATTTCATCATTACATAACAAATGTGATTTCACCTGCACATTTGAATTCACTGATGCAGCTGACACCTACCATTTAAATACACTGAGAAGTTATTCTACTCAGTCTTTGACAAAACCTTGCATAGATTGTAAAAGAATGTAGCACTGTACCAACCTTCTGTTGGAGTTCCAATTTGAGCCATCATTTCCGATTGACTCTATCTATCTACTGGACAAGGCTTCCACAATGGAATTTTTAGGATATCAGAAATGCAGTAAAAAGCAAAAGGATTCTAAAGGAGGAATAATGTGACTGGGACCTCGTATAACCCAGACTTAAAAAGACAAACCTAAACTTGACCCAAACTACACCATAACCTAGAGTTGAGTTTTGAAACCTTGTCCCGAACCCTAGAGAACAAAAGGGTCTTGTTGCACATATGTTCACCTAAAAATTTTCACTGTTTTTTGGGTGCTTGAAGCAGTAGTTTAGCTTGATGAGGTGAGACTATTTTGTATGATGAGATGCCAAGAACCAGTTTGAAAGAATTACATTACATTTCATTGCAAATCCTGCACCTTTTGAATACATAAGCATCCATGTTTCTCAATACGATTTATGCATTTGCACATTTACCTATGTGCGACAGTGTCTTTGATCTCCGAGTGATAATAGCAGCAACAGGGAGCCATCTTAACAGGTTGCAGTATTGAGCTTACACGAACATCCTACACCATTGATCCTTATTTCTTATTACGCAAGACTCTTGTACTCCATATGAGGAGATCAAAATTGTTAACTCAGCATTCTCATTTTAATTTACAATCATCATCACATCTCCAACAAATCATCCATTCAGCAGCATTAAATATTCAAAATTTTGACAAATTATCTTCTCGTTTGTTAAGTCAACTTCATTAAGGCAAATAGAAACACAAAGCTAATCGGACAAATCAAAACATTGTTGCATCCATAAGATAAATCACAGTGACGGAATGAACACAACTATGAAACTTTTGAATAATGGCCATTGATCACATTGGCAAAACTTTCAGCCAAATAAACATAAGAATGCAGGAAAAAGAAAGGTACCAGAATAGATGGCCGGGACAAGGAGACGACCGACACGTTGGAGGATCCCGGATTCCTTCGAAGTAGGCGGATGGGAGTGTCCTGAAGCCGGGAGAACATCCACCAGTTCATAAGAAAAAAGAAAACAACCACCCCGCCCCAGATCACTATCCCCCTCGTCCTCCGCCGATGCCATCCCTTGGAACCAGCAGCAGCACCCACGCCACCGCCGCCGACAACCCTCTTCCTCCTCATCCGCCGGTCGCCACCGCGGGAACCCAAAAGGGAACGCAGCCGAGGCAGGGATGTCCGCCACCAGCCACCGCAGGAGTCCGGGGCGCCGCGGGAGGCGGAGAAGCGGCTGAGGGAGAGGGGCGAGGGCGAGTGGGAGGATCCAAAGCCGAAGGCGGGGCCGGAGGAGGCCGCGCGGCCTCGCGGGGTGGTTGGGAGGGAATCCAGGGAGAGGGAGGGGGAGGGGGAGGGTTGGGCAGCGTCGGTCGACGCCATTGGGATACGGAAAGTGATCGATGGGGGGTGGCTGGCTCCGTAATCAATTGGCCTTATACAAGTGGAAGACGCAGGAGGTCGTCAATGATTGCAGAGTGAGGCGACGGGATCCTTTTGTTCCGGTGGGCTCGGGACGAGACGCTGAAAAGAAAAGGGTAGGAAGAAATAGCGGGCACGAGGTGGTCCTCGCACCAAACCAGGTCAATGTTCAAGACGCCATGTGGTGCCCTGACTGGTTTGTCGCAGCCGGCCACCTCTGGCCACCGTTTTATTTTAAGGTTTCTGTAACGCGTCGTGGGGGGCAGCTATTAGGTCGGAAGTAAATGCGACGGGACGATGGTTGGATCCGCAGCTGTTCTGCGCCCATCCACCATTGAAGGATCGTGCAATTGGAGATTCACGTTTCAGGTCTTGATGGGGGAGAAGCAAGGACGGAGGGACGGACGGGCGGAGGGGAGAGGCGGGCACCGTATCCTTCCATGATTTGGCAGCTTCCTGTGAGCGGGCCGAAAGGCTACATTGCTTCGTGTGCTTAATGTGGCCGACATAATAAGTCATGTCGCCCGGCCCCATAGTTAGGCGGCTCGGTCTGATAGAACCGAGAAGCTATTTGGGTCTTTTCTCAACAACCTAATCGTTTGGAATTATTAGTAGCTGAATTAAAGGCTCTGCCTTGGTATTCAGAGATTCGATATTGACATTTTCCCCTCTATTTGATACAGTGTTCGATCAATACTATTTCTTCTATTTGGCACATATCATGTGTGCTTTGAATTTATAGACTTCTTAATACTAAAATGAATCATCATAAAATAAAAAATATTAATATATATATATATATATATATATATATATATATATATATCATATGTATCCTTATATTTTAGTAAGGAAGAGCAAATGAGAATAAATAATCTGATCGCTCTTGGGTTTTTCTTTTAAAGATGACACTAGATTTTGAAGAATGTGAGAGAAAATATATAATTTTTTTAGAATCAAGAGTTATATAAGGGGATTCGTGTTTGAGTGAGCATAATAAAGGGTCTTATAATTAATCTTATATGTTAAAAAAATTAATTTTTTTAACATAAATAAAAAGTTATCAAATCATAATAATCTTTTATCGACTTTCTAATATATTTTTTGTATTTTTTTCTGTCATAATAAAAAAATAATTAAATAAAGAATAAAGTAAAATCAATAATATTCAGCACAGCTGCTGTTGTTATCGGGCCTAAAAGACAGTCTAAATATTAAATATCGACTCTCATTAGATTTATTGAATTAATCATACAACCACTATGTCAATTATAGTGTTAGAGGAAATATCATTAGCGTTTCTGTTGACACGATATGATTCTGATCCATATGTGAGGAGTTGTCCAAGACAAAACATGATTTTTCTAGACTCATTATTTGTACAAACACCAATATTATGAGAAATGAAACTTCCTAAGCTAGTCCTATCGATTGTTAAGTTATTATCGACTCTCTCTAATGGAGTTAAGGGTATATTTTATTTTAACATTAAATATAAGAAACGTCTCATGAAGATTGAAATAGTTCATAATTGACCTAAGTTATCCTTAGATTTTTGAGAATATTCTCGTGGAGATGTAGTTCGTAACCGATCCGAGCTACCTTTGGACTTTCAAAAATACATGAATATTCGATAAGGGAGATATTTCGTAATCGATTCGAGTTACCCTTTGAACTTTTAAAATATTTCTATAAATATTTTACAGGGAAGGTAGTTCGTAATTGACTCGAGTTGTTCTTTGGATTTTTAAAATTATTTATATGAATATTTCATACGGAATACAACTCAATAACTAATCTGAACTATTTTTAGATTTTTATCTATATGGACAAGAGAGTATTGGATTATCTGGATCTTTATATTTCTAGTGATAGTTGACTGGTTATGTCATGTATTATATATTCTTTATCAGTTATCATTAATCTGATGGTCTATATATTCCTTATGTATAGATAGAAGTTTCTAATACATGACATAACCCAACGACCAGAAATCTCAGGCTTTTCTGGTGCTTTATTCTATGGATATATGGGAACAGGTTTAGTAACCCTCTCCAGGTTTTTGGCTTAAGCAAAGCTAATAGGGTAAACTGGTTGCTTGTTTGGATTAAAGAGACCGAAGTGCTTTTCCAGCTCTGGATTCTTTTGGTTCTCGTTGAACATAGCAAAGATGTAAGTCTCTATCGGCGCTCCCGACCTTCTTGGAGTTCCTCGACCGACATGCCTTATCAGGTTTTGGTTGTATGTTTTGGCATTCTCGATCGTTGCTGCAAAGTCGCCGGCCGACGGCCAGCCGCTCTCGGACACCACAATCGCCACATTCGATCCGCCCACCTTCTCCATCGCCGCGTAGACTGCATCCACCATTGCATCGAACAGGTTCCGGTAACCAAACTGCCCGTCTTTCACTACGACTTCCGTGGACGTGAACAAGGCATAAGACGCAGAGATCTGGTTCCGGTTGTCTTTGTAGGAGAAGTAAGGATACACGTTGACCAGCAACGGGGCTCCGTTTCTCGCTAGGAACTGCACTATGGGGTTCATGTGCGTTTGCGCTGCAGAAGAGAAAGCACCAGCAGAGGGAGGGTAAGAAGTCCCGAGAACAATCGTGGCAACCGAGGTCGACACTTTGATCTGGTTCTGCAGGCCAGCGGAAGACAGAGCCTTTTGGACGTTCTGCATGGCCGGGAGGACGTACTGTGCCAAGCCGCCGGGGATGACCTCGTTGCCGACTGCTATGTAACGGAAGGAGACGCTGGGCCTGAACGCCACAACGTTCTTCTGCACCCAGTTGCTTGCTGCTGAAGGGTCGGACGCCAACGATTGAAGGTTCTCATTGGGAACACCTACCACCAGTTGGATGTTGGATCCTCGTAGGGCTTGAAGGACTTCTTGGTTGGGATCATAAATCCTCATGCTTCCGATCTTGTTGGCTTTGTAAAGGTTCACCACCTCGCCGGGCTGAGGTAGGTTGTTTCCGAGCCTCCCGTAGCAGACACCGATGGCACTTACACCTGATGCAGACAAATCAATTAGTCCATCGACATATAATTATTTATGCAAGGCTATATAAAGGGCGAATTATCCCTAAAGAGAATTCCATCCTTCTGTAAACATGGGAAGTGAGAGGCAACATACTTGCAGGCACTGCCGTGAGGACTGAAACCAGTAATGCAGTGGAATATACAGACCAAATAATTCTTGGAATAGCCATGGCAATAGCTCTCTGGAGTCTGTGGTCCAGTGTGGGATGATGGTATCACACCTCGCTTATATAGAGGGTTGGCAGGACCATCGACATTCTCCACTGGCTCGTGGAAACATGTCCATGGTCATTGTTTCAGGCGCCCCAACCCATCGATCCACCTTACACGGCGGTCTGCTCATCATCTTCCACACTTCTCTCATTTCGTGTAAAACCCGTCAACAATATGACACAGTCTCTGTTTCGTTTCAGAGTTGTCTTTATCATCGGCAGTAAGGTAATGTCTTTTCTTAGAATGCATTAGGCTGTATGATAGCGGCATCTCATGTTCTTTGATCGTATCCTCCGCGGGTAGCCCGACAGATACGTAAACAGTCGATTGGTTCTTAAGATGGGCTGCACCAATTGTTTGCAACACCTAAGCTTTGATGATTGAAGAATCACGGAACTAATAAAATCTTATGCTGACATTTGATGATAACTAATGCTTAGAAAATCAAAATTTTGCACTTAGTATAAAAAATATTTTATTAATCTATATTATTGATATTTTTATTATAAAAATATGAAATTAAGTATCAACAAAATACTAATTTATGTGTCAACTAGCTTTGTTGATAAAAATTGGTTCAGGATTCAATCACTCATTAGAAACATAATTGCATATATATCATTGATTTTGCTATGTTCACCATAAAATAGATTATGGACTATCTTGCATTAGCTGAAAAATCATTACTTGATATGTTAACCCATGCAATTAAATCTTAGATTAGAAGGTCAAAACTAGCTTTCGAATCCATCAAAGAAAACTCATCTTAAGGAAATTTGGATCTACACTTCTTATTGGGTTCTAATCTTGTATATAAAAGCATGATATGCTTTTTATGATATTGATTGGGCCAATTTTGGAGAAAGAGTTATGTGCTTTTATCTTAATTTTTTTTGTTAAGTATCTAAAATATCCTTAGCCATCTATCACTTTTTTTTTTCTCCTTTCCCTTATTTTTTATATGGATCAATCAATAAGGTGATGTTCGTCATAAAATAGATCACCGACTATCAAAACTTTTGATAGCATATCTTAAGAAAATTTAGATATAAACTTTTCAATATTGGATTCTAATCTTGAATATAAAAGTAAGGTATGCATTTTATGATATTGATTGGGCCGAGAAAGACATATGTGCTTTTATCCCCTTTTTTTATTTTTTAATAATTTTATTAAGTATTTAAAATTTTGTTTCAACAAACATAATGATATGTTAGAAAATATTTTTTAATTATTGTTACATTAACTTTAAGTTGAGTTGTTTTCGTAAATAAGATAATTTCATTTATTACTTATTAGTTCATAAAAATAATAATCGAGACTCAAAACATGAAATGCATTAAACAGGTTATACACGTCGATTTCAGAGATGGGGAAAAGATGCTTTGGCACATTAATATAATATCCAAAGAATATATTTACTAGTTGGAAACCAATAGATAAAAAATAATATTATATAAAATAATCTATTTAAATATTTTTAAAAACACCCTAAGAAAATACTTACAAACTTTAGACGTGATGCATACCAACTTTAACTTGGTTCTTATTTTACGAAAAATAAAATGCAAAACATTATCCTCCAACTGAATTGACACAAATAACAATAAATATTGACATTTTACACCTCCGACAAAAATTCTCATCATTTAATTTAGAAATAATGGACTCGAATTGATGGTGAAGTTTAACTTGGTCATTTCATTATTAATATTATTTTATATCGATCATATTATTTTAAATTTAATATATTTTTAATTTTTAATAAAAATAAGGGAGGGAGATGAGATCTGAATTCATAATTTTATGATTTATTATTAAAATATTTATCAGTTAAATTGATTGGCACACTAAAAATGTGTCCATTGATTTTTCTATTTTTTAAAAAAGAATTTATCCATTAAAATTGGCACACTACTAAAAATGTGTCCACTGATTTTTTTTTTCAAAATAAAAAAAAAGAATTTATCCGTTAAAACGGACGCCGATTGATGCAGTCACCACTTGCTCAGAGATCCAATCATCCGAACCGCCACGGGTTCCTCGTCCATTTTACTGCTCCCTGACCGGACCGGCGGAGCCTCCAACGGCGGTTTCTTCTTGCTAACCAAACCCTTATCATAAAAGCGAGGGATCTCAGTATACTCGGTGCGGTGCTCTCTCGCTCTTATCCCTCATCTCCCTCCTCTGTTCGGTCCGATCTCCGCCATCCATGGCCACTGCGAACTCCGTCCTCGCCAACGATGGCGCCAAGGGCCCGGCCCCCCCACGCCTCGCCTCCGTCTACAGTGAGGTGCAGACCAGCCGTCTCAACCACCCCCTCCCTCTCCCCTCCGTCCTCAAGGGCCCCTTCAAGCTGGTGGATGGCCCCCCGAGCTCCGCCGCCGGAAACCCAGGTCGCGCTCCCGACAGATCTCGTTGACAGATGAAAAGAGATTTAGGATTTGGGATAGAAGTTTCTTGTTTATGCTCGTGACGGTATTTGTGGCTTACATTTGTAGATGAGATCGCGAAGCTGTTTCCTAATCTGTTCGGCCAGCCATCGGCAAACCTGGTGCCGACTGGCTCAGATCCATCAGATTTGGCCGGAGGTCTGAGGATTGGGGTCGTGTTGTCTGGTGGTCAGGCTCCAGGTGGACACAATGTCATCTCTGGGATATTTGGTGAGCCATTATCTCATTCTCACTTTTAGTCATGTTTAATCCCTCGATTTAGCGCTTGTTTATTTGTTTTGCAATGTGGTAGATTATTTGCAGGAGCGGACAAACGGAAGCATCCTGTATGGTTTCAAGGGAGGTCCTGCTGGGATTATGAAGTGCAAGTATGTTGAGCTGACTCCAGATTTCATCTATCCCTACAGAAACCAGGTATCTTTTTTTTTAATCCAATGTTGTTTTGTACTGTCAAATTATATTCATTGAATAGGGATTTTGGATTTTAACATTGAATATTAGGTTATTGAGCCACCTGGTGGTTGAGATTTTGAGTAGCAGGAAGGGATATTAGTAGTAAATAATTAAATTGATAGCTCTACAAGCGGAGCAGGAAAGGAATAATTAACAATTGAAGTTTGTGACCAATATATTTATTCTTGTTATGTATCAAACATTTTGGAAGATTTTTTTCTCTAATAATAGGGTTACTGTCATACGTCATACGTAGCAAAACAATTATTCCATGCAAGAGGTAAAGAGCAGCTATACAATTATAATGCACTTTCACAAAGCAAGAGAAAAGAGTATTAAGGATATGGTTTTGGTGAAGCATCATTACTGGTCTGACTTTAGAACTTTGAAGCAACTGACAGGGGAATTTTGTTGAGGACTTCTGCAGATTTAATAGTTAATCAAGTTATTTTAGCAAAAAATGTTGTTTGATAACTTACTTTTAGACAAACCTCTTGGAAAAGTACAAGTCCATAAATTGCCTTTTTTAAAATCTAGGATTTCTTGCATCTGGCTATGGACCTGAATTCAACTTATTGGCATGGGGACATTTGCTTCTTATTTCTTTAGACTACTTTTGCTAAGGAGTACTAAACAAGTCATATGGGTGAAACTTAAAAGTAGTTTCACAAAAGAATACTTCTAAAATGTGCTTTCTTAGATTTGTTTTCATATACTTACCCTAAGAGATTTTTGGAACATTGAACTAAACGGTTACTTGTGAATATTTAAGGTTGATTTATTTCATTGTATCATGTAACTTGATCCAGCCAATAAAGGTACCAGTTAAAACTCTCTGGCTAAAGCCGCCAAATCAAATAATATTAGCGATTTGATTTGGGTTGGTTGCTTAAAAATGGTTTAGTTTGGAAAGATTTGAAGAATATGGTTTTTGGAACATTATTAAATTACTAAATGTCTGTTTTATGTTCAAATGTTATTATTCTCTTATATTACTTTGTAAATAGTTTCAAGCAAGGTTTCAAATATTGGTCAAGCAACATGTACTGACCGGAATCTGTTGATGCAACCAAAGATTGGTGTTGATGTTTTTTTTTTAATTGCTTATTTCATTGATTCTGCGCAAAACATCAGTATATCACATAGTCTAGTGGCATCTGATCACATCTGATTAAGATTCTAATCCTCGGTTCAAAGTTTGAGTAGTATTTGGTGGACCAAATCAGAGAGCCAATTTGATGGGTTTAATTCTGGTAATTCCTCTCCCCTTTGGGAAGTGAATGAATATCCTAAATATACAAAAGTATTATATTATTTTATCGATATAATCTAGTATCATTTACCATACATGTAAAGTATTTTCTTTGCTCCATGGTGTTTGTCGTAATTGGCTTAATGAACATGTAGACCATATGCCATATTTTGGCATGGAGAATATGATATCCTTGCATTCTTGGTGGCCAAGCACATAGTTAGGACTAGAACCCTAATTGCCCTTATGCATGGCACAGTAATCTTCATGGATGATAGATGTAACTTATAAATAAAAACTCTGTTCTTCAATTTATACGAATATGATCCAAGAGTTAATACTTAATAGTCTTGTGTTTTATTTGAATAGGGTGGATTTGATATGATCTGCAGTGGAAGGGACAAAATTGAAACCCCAGAACAGGTGGTTCTCTTATCTTTTTGCAAATTATTTGTGTAAAAAATAGTTTGTCAAGTTCTTTTACTACTTTATTATGTGTGCCTATTATGATGACAGCTTCCCAATGTTGTCACTATGCCTGACATTACATTTCATGGTCTTATGAATCAGTTTAAGCAAGCTGAGGAGACAGCCATGAAACTTGATTTGGATGGACTTGTTGTTATTGGCGGTGATGACTCCAACACGAATGCATGCCTCCTTGCTGAATATTTTAGGTAGAACTTTGGAACAAATTCAGGAACCATAATACTTCAATCATTTTGACGATGTTGATGATTAGTGTCACTCTTTAATTTATTCACTTCTTACAATATTGGATGTTTAGGCAAAAGAATATGAAAACTCGGGTTATTGGATGCCCGAAAACAATTGATGGAGATTTGAAATGCAAGGAGGTTCCAGCAAGTTTTGGATTTGATACAGCCTGCAAGGTCAAATGATGCCTTTTTTGTACCTTCCGTTTCTTTCTTGTGCTGTGTTAATTCAAGTTTTTAAGGGAATCAATATTGAAATTTTGCATTAAACATGTCAGTATAACTTTGGAAATGCACTTGTTAGTGTTTATTGTGAATAAGTGCATTTTTAATGTTTATGTTATGAAGAAATAACTCTTAGCAATTTGTTGTAGGCTTATTGCTTCCTGTTCATATTGACAGGATTTTTAGGATAAATACTGTTGCAAAGTTTTCTAGGCTTCATGATGTAGAGGTTCTTGATGCTCATTATTGCATTTTTTTTTTCAGCCAATCTTTATTCATTTTGTAAGGAAAACTTTGACATATTGGTGACATATCCTTCACTATATTTTTGTGAATAATCTGCAACATCCATTTGCTCCTTTGTGTTTATCCTTCACTATATTATCATTATTGCATTTTTTTTCAACCAATCTTGATTCATTTTGTATGGAAACTTTGATATATTGGTGACATATAATCCTTCACTATATTTTTTTGAATGATCCCCAACATCCATCTGCTCCTTAGTGTTTATCCTTCACTATGTTTTCACTAACATTGCATCTGAAAATTTTAATTATTTTATCTGTTTTCCATCATTGGCTTGTGTCATAAACTATACGGTAGGAAGCCAAAATGTTCCAACTATTTGAGATCAGCTACATGGACCTTTTCCTGCCATTCACCTCAGTTTAGGGCAATATCAATAATTTATACATAAGTCAATCTTTTTTTTATTGTTTCTGGTAAAGTTTCCATAGTATTTCCTCTGCCTCACAGCATGCCACTGATCATTATCAATGATGACCTCCTTTGGCTTGGTCCATATCATCTTATGAAAATTCTCTTTTAATTTGAGCATATGATGATCAAATAAATGTCATATGTCCCACTTCACTTTAGTTATCCTGCTTTAGTGTTGTCAACAATGTCTTGGTTGATTTTTCATTGCTATTGAATAATAGGTTTGGTATATCCAATACTATGTTACACCTAAGAACTCCTTATCCATTTATCTTAATTATTCTTTAAATTATTTTATGTCATTGTTTAAAGTTATATTTGATATATTCAGTTTTAATCTTATCCTAAGACCGTTGGTTGTTTATTCTCTATCTCCCAGTTTCACAATTAGTTCCAACCAAGTTCTTATCAAGCAAACAATATTATTAACAAATAATATACACCATGGAAATTTGCCTTGAATGTAGCTAGTAAATTATTAAGTGACCTAAATGAAAAAACAAAGACCCAAAATAGATTCTTGATCTGCATTTGCAATTATAGAGTACCTTGTTCATTCTCCACCGAGTAATAAAACTAGTGACAACTCTACGAGTATATATCTTTTTATCACATTAATATAACTTATACATTTCTTTCCTGAAGTCCACCATGATTAATTTATTGAAACTCTTATAGAATTTTTCTTGATCAAGAAAAGCCACATGCAAGCCTTTCTTCTATATATTTTTGATTAATTGTCATAATAAATAAATATCTTCTATGTTAATCTTCCAGACCTAGTAAAAATACTTATCTCATGGTATGCAATTATGTTATTAGTGCCATTAAGCGCTTTAATTCCATGTAATTCAAAGGCGTACTCCTGGGTCTAGAAGATACTTGGAGCATTTTATATCATTTTGTCAATTGACTATTAATTTACACATCCAAACTTTAAGTTTTGCTGCTGATGACATTGTACTTTTATCATATGACCGTTTCTATGTATCATCATTATGCAAACTTTACTGTTTATTGTGAAATATGTTAATGAGAATATGCACAACAAAGATATGAACATGTTTTACTTGCTTGACATGCTCTTAAAAGCACTCTTGTGATGCCATGCAAGTATCAAATAATCATATTTCTGGGAGCAAATATGAAAGTGCAGCCATCCTTACCAACCCTACAACTATAAGTCCTCTTTTTCATTTCAGACATGGTAACATTGCAAATTTTCTAAGAGATTCTTTCTTATATTGCAGATATATTCTGAAATGATAGGAAATGTCATGACAGATGCAAGGTCAACTGGAAAATATTATCACTGTAAGCCGATTATATTCTGAGATGTGCTCTTTTGTTGTTGCATTAGTATTTTATCTAAAGTATTTGATGCATTCTCTGTAATATACCGATGGTGGAATGTAAATTTTGTGGAGACATCTGGTGGTTATTGCTTGTATGCCGCTAATTGCTAGCACAACAGGCTAAATTGGTTATTTCTTGAGAATAATTTTTGCACCATCTGTCATAAACAGGTCAAATACTTGTGCTTGTAATGTGTTTTGATAAGGTCAAATTTACTTCCAGCAAACCCACTAATTGTATCCCTGGAAAAGTTATGAAAATTTTGCCCATTTTCCCTATATGTTTGTGGAGCACAGGAAGCATTTTTTCATAATTGTTCTTACACAAACCCGGCATGATAATGCATGTCTTGGTCTAGTTTGAAATGGCCATATATAAGTTATTCAATCCTTTCCATTACTTATGATGCCAAACTAATTTCAAATTGTTTGCTCTCAAAATTAGCTTTCAGACCTTTTAGGTTGGTATTATTTAGATGATTTGTTTGTTTTCATTTCTTAACATTCTGCTTTGTATGGTTTACCCACTAAGTCAGTAGGCATCCTGGTATGTAACACTGCATGGACCTAGCTCTTAGCCTCTTAGTTACTATAAAGATTAAAGAGTATAACATTTTGCAGAAATTATTTATACTGTGTTGCTAATCTTAAATTTCTGTTGGTTCCTCATTTCTTTTCAAAACAACTTGCTTATGCAGTTGTAAGGTTAATGGGGCGTGCTGCTTCTCACATTACGCTGGAATGTGCTCTACAAACACACCCAAATATTGCTTTCATTGGTGAAGAGGTGCTTTCCTTGTTAAATTTTAGATTTTCATGTTCAGGACCTACTTGACAATCAATAACTTATATTATTGATTTTCCTTAGACAGCTTTAGGCAATATTTATTAATTATAAGGTAACTCATTTGTAGATCTTCTTGCTACATGGTTTATCATTATCTGAATTAAGCAATTCTTAACTTGTTGTATGATATTTTTTCTGATGTAAGATCAAATAGGGTTCATCGGCATCCTGTGTGGGTTGGAAAACACATTGTTAACCTTAAATAGTTCACTATTTATGGATTATTATAATGCACTTTCAGGACTTAGATTGAAATTAGTCCATCATGACGTTTTTGAGGGTTGTTTTAGACTTGAAGAAAATAGCAAACTGTTAAACAAAATTGAAGCAAACTAATAGGCATGTCTTTATGAAGCAGGGAATTTTTTATGTAGATTTTGTTGCTTATGTGTGTAATCAGTGACTCTGAAAAGGAAACTTTGCAGAAATCTTAAGCAAAATATAGGTTGTTTAACAGTGAGTGAAATCTGATGTCTGCCCTTGTGGATACACATAATAGTAGTTTACTCTGTATTAATGATCTAAGCCTTAAACTAAATCTACTTTGCTGTTGAGTATCTTAAATCATTGATCTCATATTATACACTTTTCATATGGTCTGCAGTAGGAACTTCTAATGTTTTCTAGCAAGACTTTCTGTAGAAATCTTGTGCTCATGCTTGATGAGCTTAGGTGCATATAGATCAATTGAATTGTATTTTGCACCATACATTTTGTAAATCCCTGGCCATAAATTATTCAACACCATATCAAATATTTCTTCTAGTTTCTATTGCTCCATTATTTAGGTTGCTGCCAAGAAGCAAACGCTAAAAAATGTCACAGACTACATCACCGATGTAATCTGCAAGCGTGCAGAACTTGGCTACAATTATGGTGTCATACTTATTCCAGAAGGATTAATTGACTTTATTCCTGAGGTATCTATATTTAATTTTGTTATGTTTTCAAAAACCATTTAATTGAATTTCTTAAGAAATCCTTGTTCTTCATTTTTTTGTTTGCAGATCATCTTGTATTATTATTGATATGGCCTCTTTTTTAGGTTCAACAACTTATTGCAGAACTAAATGAAATTCTAGCTCATGATGTAGTTGATGAAGACGGGTTGTGGAAAAAGAAACTCCAACATCAGTCTCTGCATCTTTTTGAATTCCTTCCTCAGGCAATCAAAGAGCAATTGTTGCTAGAAAGAGATCCACATGGAAATGTACAGGTAATAGGAAGTACTTATTGTTCATTTGGAAGTTCTTTGTTGATCTTTGCTGCGGAAAAGAGTGCTAGCTTGTCCATTTGTTCATAGCCTTTTTCTTTTACCTGGTCAGGTTTCAAAAATTGAAACTGAGAAAATGCTCATCTCCATGGTTGAAACTGAGTTGGAGAAGAGGAAGTTAGAGGGTAAATATGCTGGACACTTTAAAGGACAATCCCACTTTTTTGGGTAAGGATACCTTATCAATTATTTAATTGGTCTGACTTAAGTGATTGTTCTAGGGATGACACCAAATGTCGGCTCTTGTTGATTGATAACTTGCGCCTCGGGTTATGATATGATTGCTCTTGTTGCAACCTGGTTATTGATGGTTGGGAAAATAGCCTCTTTGCATGTAAGAGAATTCATTTGATCCTTTTCAGACCTTGCATTGTTGAAAGCATTGTGTTGGGCTGCCCTTTTTGTTGATTGATAAATTGATTACCCTCACACCACTAGTTTGCAAATTTTTATGCACACATTTCAAGGCTCTGTTAGTCACGTTTTAAATTAATTTTAGTGCCAGATATTTAGTTCTTTGTACTGCTGTCTGGTTTATCTTAAGGATTTGCATTTGCATTTACATTTACAGATATGAGGGTAGATGTGGCTTGCCTACTAATTTTGATGCCACCTATTGCTATGCATTGGGTTATGCTGCAGGAGCTCTCTTGTGTTCTGGAAAGACTGGCCTCATATCCTCAGTTACCTTCATCACTTCACTCTTTTATTTCAAAGAGTTTTTCTTTTCTTATAATATAGTTCCATCATGAAATGCTAGATAAATATTCACTCAGGAAACTGAATAATGTCTTTACATGTCGTATACGTACAGTATATAATATATTGCCACAATCTCTATATATTGTGTACAAGAACACACATTTTAGCAAGGATTGCTGTTTTGCCCGGACTGGTACGAAACGGGTGGCATGTACCGGTCCGAGTGCCAACCGGTACACGGACCCACCCCGGTCTGATCTGCCACATAAGACAAGTGGGAAACCCTAATTCCCACTTTTCACACGAGCATCATGGCTCGTGAGTGTCACCTTCGCCTCTGCAGGGCTCATGAGCATCGACAATGTTGCGATTGATGCTTCTCACGTAGGCGGCTACCAGACCGGGGTGCACTTGTGACCTCACTGCACATTGCACATCTCAGGTAAGTCTTTCTCCTCTTCCTCCTCCGTTGGTGCCTCTTCTTTCCTCTTTCTTCCTCCTTCCTCCAACGTCCCTTCCTCTTCTCCCTTTTTCTTCCTCTTCGAAACACCGGTACTTACCACCGGTGTTCCATGTGTTGGTACATTGGTACTGACTGGTATGTACTGGCCTGATGAATCTCAGAGTTGGGTCCAGTACCCAGTTTGGCAAACCCTGCATTTTAGTATAGAATTGAACTAGTATCCTATTAGTAGGATTGAGCCCTTAATCCTACCAACTTAAATAAAGAACCTGATAACTCAAATTGATTATCAGCTCTGTGGATTGTAATTTATAGCCTGCCTTAGAAAGGTCGTATTTTGAGGCTGATAAAACTCATGATGACTAAACCCATGCTCAATCTAACTTACTGGACTCCTACCTAACTGAGTTGTATCTGGTTTCACTCTACATCAAGAGCCAGCCAATGCCAAAAAAATTTGTTGATTGATTAATTATCTTGACACTAACCTTTACAGTATTCTGTATCACACTTATTTCTTAGTGTTTCTGTACTAATGTCACTTTGCTAATTCACATGCCATGTTCGTGTTAATTGAATGACCACTCACCTTTGGCCTTTGGCCTTCCTTTTACCTCAACTGCCCAACAAGCTCAACTACTTTTGCCCAATAATAGTTGCATGAAGTTGGTTACTGATTGGATTGCCATGGAGTTTGCTTGGTGCATGTCCTAGTATGAGATACAATGAGTTATCAACTATCCATTAGCTCATTCTATTCTACTGAACAAAATCTACATGTTCTTTTGTTAATCAAGAAATAATACAAGTGTCCATTTTCTAGGTTTCTTGATAGCTAATTGCTTTTCTGGCTGCTTCTTCTAGGTTGGTAACTTGAATGCTCCTGTTAATGAATGGACTGTTGGAGGGACTGCATTGACTTCATTGATGGATGTTGAGAGGAGACATGGTATGCTATCTCTCTTTGATTCTTTCTCATTGTGAATTCATGGTCTCTATTCTGCCCATCTAGGTTTCCATTTTCCAAGTTCAGAAATTTAAAGTTTGAGTATAAGCCTTTTGTTTATTAAGCACTTTCGTCTTACATTTTATACCTTAATGAGGTACTTAGTTTAAGAAATATCTATCTCTGAGTCTCTAGTGAGATATGGTAGCAGTTGGAGCTTTGGTTGATTTGTTTGCATGATTCTTTTGTGCATATTCCAAAATTCAAAACAAGAAACTTCGCCTCAACCCAGCTTGACTCTATAATCTTTATTCAGTCGCAATGTTGTCTTTTTTCTCAATCTAAGACAATAGGAAAGCCTTTCCTTACACACCTTTTCTGTTTTCTATGGTTGTCATTTGGGCATGTCTACAACAAGAATAACAACTAGTGGTATTGTCCTAACCATTTTGGGGTCTGCTACAATGTTCTTTTCCTACCATTGAGTTTTATATAATGCAAATCTCTAGTTCAATCCTCATCCTAAATTATTTTTTTTGAAGGAGTTAACCAGCTTAGTTGGTAAGAATAGCAAAGTCTTGGGATTAAATCCTGCCTTCATCACTTACCACTTGCAAAAACAAAAAAAAAAGCAGCTCTAATTAAACTAAGATCATTTGAAACTCTTTTTGTTGTTTTTGGTAGACTTATTAGATCTCGTTCCACCTTTCCTCGTATCGCTAAATTTAATTGACTCATACCATTTGGTCCTAGAATATATAAGTTTCATTTGAAGATGTCATACCATCTTATACAATTATATTCAATTTATCCTATTTCGAGGTGTGCAATGTTGCACAAAACCCTTGATGATCACAGAAAATCCACAATGCCTCTCTCCACATTAATCACCAAGATTTTACTATATGAAATAATATTTTCATCACCCTCCTCGTTGAATGATAGATTAAAGATATCTGAACTTACTCATGACTCGTGAGAACTTTTTCTGTATCCATCTGAGCAATGTTGTCATTTCTTTTCTTAGAATTTCAAAAACTGTGTTGTATGTTCCTTTTTAGTTTTACTTAAAACTAAAGCTTTCATATTTTTAGTTTGTTTCCATAATCTAAGTTTAAAATTAACAACCATCTGTCTCAATGTTATCATCTCTATTATGCTAGAATCTGATAATCTGATTGCCCTTATTCAAAAAACATTGATCTTGCAACATTTCTTCTTTAATTGGAGTTATTGCAATGATCTCCAAAAACGAGAAAGCACCATTTCACTTAAGTTATTTGTTTATGTTATGCATAATGTTCTGTTAGATAATAGCTCTAAAAGTGATTTACTTTAAACTTGTGTTCTCTTTGGCCATACTTCTCTACTGCATAATTTTATTGATTAGATTGTAATTCATAACTCAAATACAGTCGTGCTGATTCTGAAATCTATGGCCTCGAAAATTTGTGTTCATGGTTCTAACTTAAATGTTTGCATGCCTTCCTGTCAATTTTATCTCATTAGTGAAAAGATGCATTTTTTTAAATACAAATTTGTTGATAATTTATTATCTTTATCTTACTTTAGATCTTTAAGGAAGTCTTTTTCTCCTTATTGTTGTGAATAATATGCTCACATGAGTGAGCCTTCATACTTTGTCTTATTACATTCAAACTATATCAGGTGTCAATGTTTTAAGTGCTTTGCAGAAAGTTCAAGGGAGAAAATGAAAAAAAAAGGAAACAAGGGAAAATAAAAGAAAGATAAAAAGGGTGGGGAGAGAGAGAGATAGATTGAGAGAATTAAATGATTTTTGGCTATTGTTTCTAATTCGAATTGTTCCACTTCTTTTTTCCATTTTCCAAGGCTTAAGGAAAGAGTTCCACAAAACAGCTAAAAATGAAAGTTGATGATACTATTTCTTTTATTCTCTGATGAGATGATGTCGATTGCTCAAATGATCTGCCAAAAGTATCATTGCTTTTTAATTATGTAAGATTGCTTTGCTTCTACAGTCCCTACTTTTGCTGCCTTTTTTCTGTCTTTTATTTCCATTGTACTTTATCTTTACTCTTGTTTTTTTATTTCTAGTAGTCAAGGTGGACAGCAAGAAGCTGAAATTTTTGAAAATGGGTTGCTTCATGTTTTTTTATTCTTCCAAAATCATCTTGAAAACCACTTTCTCCCACAGTGAACAAATTAATTTTCTTTTGCTCATTTTTCAGTTTGATGATTTTTGTTGGGTGGAATTCTATGGGGTAGGATGGCGCACACACCGTCCAACCTGCTGGTTGGTGAAAATTCTTTCGACTTAGAGTGTGGTTATATAGCTAGTTGGTCGAGTAAGGTGGGGACTGATGGTTAAGCGATGCCATGCTTTACTTATCAGAGAAAAATCAGGGTCAAGTCACGTTAAACCTTAGTATTAAGGAAACATGTGCTTTATCAAGACCCAACTTGACCTATGGTTTCAAACTTTTTCTGAATGTCACAACATGTGAAACCTGAAAGGTCACCTTAAATGAATTGGGTTGTAATCAAGACAAATGGACCTAACGGTTTCAAGATTTCCATTTATAATGGAAGGCTGAAAGTATCTTGTGTTATGCATGCTGTTGTCGGCTATACCTGTTGTCAAGTTGCAGTTGCCAGTTAACTGTTTATCAGTATTAATCAGTTACCATTGGCTAATAGTCTGATTGCACTTGATCTGCAAATTATATGGTGGTCAATGACCTATCAGTCACACCACTAGCCTTCCTGTTCTTGCTGGTGACCCAACATTCACCAATCAAAATCAACCACAGTGATCAGGACTGATAAAGACCAACAGCTAAAGGGTCCAAAGATTATTTGCTGCTTGCTGGCAGTTTACCAAGTGTTATGGTTGAGTTACAATAGTCTATCATTGGTTGCCTTTGCAATTGCAACTATCACCCAATGGTCTCTCTGATGGTTGAAGGATCATCTGTAATGGTCATGATCTATCGATTACAATGGATGCTCATCTGTTGACAACTTGTGGCCTATTGACGATTGACAATCTTTGGCTGACAGTCTACCTAATGCTGCTGATAAGTAATAAATATCATCGATCATCATTTGCAGACTGCAAATTATAATTGTTCATTTGCTTGAACTGTTTATGGTCACTGCCAATCATTTATATGCTGAAAACTTAGTTAACGGCAAAAATAAGAGAGGTTAAATAGCTTACCCTTGCAGTATACAACAAATGATCAAGTAATAAAATTACAAAATTTTAACAATTCCTGGACAATTAATTAACTCTCTAGTTGTTGAGCTATATGACCTAGAACAGGTGATACTGAAACGCTTCTTCCTGAACATTATCCTAGCATTAACTTGCAGCTGTATGATTTTTTTCTGATAAGACACAAATTGCCTCCAGGTAAGTTCAAGCCAGTGATCAAGAAGGCAATGGTGGAGCTTGAAGGTAGCTCTCTCACAGATCATGAGATTAGATTACTTCTATCATTGTCCTATGTATCTGCAGTCAAATCTCTTTTTGGATGGATTTGATTTCTAATGCCATTACAATTTTTACTTAGGTGCACCATTTCAAAAGTTTGCATCCATGAGAGATGTATGGGCTCTCAAGAACAGATACATCAGCCCTGGTATCATGTCTTCATTTTTTGCCAAGTCTGCTGTCATAGAGTGTAACTTATTGAACAAGCGTCCTTTTTTGTATTAAACTTCTTTGCAGGCCCCATTCAGTTTATTGGTCCAGGATCTAATGACGTCAATCACACCTTGCTTCTGGAACTTGGAGCACAGGCTTAGATAGATGTTGCCCAATATTAACCTCGAGAATGGAAAGACAAACTGAAGGTTTGTTTATGCATATGCCCATATTTTGCATTTAAATTTTAATCATTATAATCAATAATATCAGTGTTCTTGATGCCTCTAGCATTGTTGCTTGGATTTAAACTGTATCCTACTCAGGCAGATTCTGACCACCATCTTGTTAAACATTTGTAGAAGATTAGTCCTTCAAAACATAGGTGGCTGGTATGTTTCTAACTTCAAAGTGACTAGTCAAACTTGGAAGAGTGTTGCATCTGTGTGTGTAATCGTACGCTGAAAGATGTAATAATATCCAGTCGCCGAGTACTCGTTACATGTGCCTATAATTGCGGATTCTACAAGTATCGAAAAGATAAGGATTAGTCAAACTCGTTTGCAGTATCTATTGAATCTCTTACTTCCGATAGTCCTTTTAACAGCAACACATTAGCATAATTTTTTTACGTTCTGTCCTCAGGCTTAGCACTCTCCTGCCTCCATCACTTCCAGCCATCAGGTACTCTTCTTTCTCTCTGTTCCCAATCTCTACTCATCAAAACATTACCTCCGTCACAGGTACGAGAGACAATTTCAACATTGATCTAATCTGTATGGAATCAAAATTCTGGCAACATAAGGAAACTAAAGAAAAAGCCATCTTTATTCTCAAGTTTATTGGACATGAGATGGTCTAATCTTAGAGTTTGCTAACAGGACGAGGAACCGCAGGTGTGACCAAACCAAGATACCGAGAAGTGATGGGCTTGAAGAGACCATCCAACTCGAGCGCTTTAGCCAGCTTCGGCCACATGAGCGCGCTCACGTTCCATGAGCCGTCGCCCTTGGGACTCCCTACAACCTGAAGAAAAGCGCTACAGAGCCTTCCCTTCGGTACGACGGGCATCACCAGCACCGGTCGCCCCAACCCGAAGTCCAAGTCCACCCCAAAGTTGTGGAACGAAGTCAACACCACCGCAGGGCTCCCAAAACCGACACTTACCCTCTCCACCCATCTCCCTTCCCTCTTGTGCTCTTCCATCCAATCCACCATTTCTTGGAAATGCTCCTTCTTCGCCACCTCACGTATCGACGCCGACACCACCCGAGCGATTTGCGAAAGACTGCCGCTCCCCAACTCCTCGGTGCTCGCCTCCTTCGTGGCGAAAGTCGTTGTGTTCCCGATGTAGTTTTGCATGTCACTTATCTCCTTGAGCCTGCTTCGCCCCTCGACGAGCCACGCCATGCGGCAGCAGGTGTCGCCCGCGTCTTCCACAATTCCGGCGAATAGTTTCCATATGTACGCGGACACCGCCTCCATGCGGGTCGCCCTGCGGCCCGCCTTGCTTGATGACTCGCGCAGGCGATCGATGTCGCCCGCTTCGATGTAGTACAAGCGCCTGACGTTGACCTCGCAGTTGAGCACGTTGAACAGGTTGTCCGAGGTGCATGGCACGAACGAGCGGGCCAACGCAGGGCTGTAGGTACGTGGCACACGGGGAAGGAACAAGGATCGGTCATGGTTGGGGTAAACAGAGAGCTTGCCGGTCCGGACGAGCTCACACAAATGCGTGGCGAGCATGCAAATGCTGTAGCCATCGACGAGGAGGTGGTTGGTGCCCCACGAGATGGAGAAGCCACCGCAGGCAAATTCCACAGCCTGCACGGACAGAGGGACATCGTGAGCAAAGGGGAGCACTATTTGGTTCAGCGAGCCGTCGGTGTCGTGGAAGTCGACGTGAGCCAATGGGACGTCGGAATATGCCACGACAAGCTCCGCTCCTTCGTTATTGCAGTGGACCTCAGGCAAGCCCGTCTCCGGGTTCGTCACGATCCGGCCAGTGAACGGGTGGTAGTGATCGAGGAACGCAGGGAGGCATGTGCGGAGTGCGTCAGCAACGGAAGCGAAGTCCCCCGTCGTATGTCTTGGATAGATGGAACATAATGCGACTTGGAAGTCGTTGGGAAAAAGATCGAGATTGGAAACTGGGAGGACATGATTAGTTGCGACGGAAGGATGGGAAGCTTTGACGAGGCTTCTGCTGGCGACTCTCATTCCGAGATTGGAGAACATTTTTAGTGGGAGCTACTGCAAATAGAACCAAGAAAGATGAAGACGAATACGTCTAATGGGTTGTTATTCTGTGGGGAAGGGAGACCTCCCTGAGAGGTTTTACACACTTATTGGAGTGCTGTAAAGTGGACACATTTACGAAAAACTTGTTCGTCGTAATTCTGTTCTACCATTTTTCTATGATCAAAGGGCTCGTTGACTTCGGAAGATGTTCCTAACCATCTCAACTTGAGATCTACTTATTATCTTATTCTAACGAGGTCATTAACTAAGTGGACTAGGATTAGTTGGTCATAGTTATTTGGGTATAGAAGCTAACCAGACGCTACCGAGAGATTTGGCCATGTTTTTTATTTACATGCCGGTCAAGACTTAGCTGTCTTCGGCTGGAAGTCAACAGTTCGTGCTAATCGTGCAGGCTAAACAAATCTATACATATGACACTTTGTAATTCCGTTCAGCACGATTCAGTAGGAATGATATTTATTGATCAGATATGTTACCTGCCAACGGATTAGGCTAAACTAATGATACGGGTGATACGAGACCTAATATTATGTAATTAGCTCTCTATAGTTATACCTCTTTAGCATTCTGATCTAAAAAATTTATATTAGAATATCTATAATTTTGAAAGTGAAACATCTAGTTATATTTATTCTAACATCATTAGTTTTATTGGCGGAAGCACGAAAACGATAAACAAAAAGATAATTTTGATATTTCTGTTACGTTTCGATAGTGACGGATGACGATGCTGCTAGAGGTCGTGGATGATTATTGTGGATGCAAAGGGAAAGCGACGGTGAGAGGTGAGACGACGATGTAAGTGTTGACGCTCTGCATCTGCGTTGGTGTCGCTCAGCAACTACGCCGACCGACGTAGATGCAGAGCGAGTTTAACGTAGATGTAAATTGTCGGTATTTGCATCGTCACTTCAACCCTCATCGCTTCTCCCTCCTCATCTACAATAATCACCCGTGACCCCAATAGCGCTGTCGTCCGCCACCACAAAAAAGTAACTAAAACGTTGAAATTATCTTTTTGTCCATTGTTTTCGTACTTCCGTTGATAAAACCGACGATACAAGGGTAAATGAAACTAAATGTTTAACTTTCATAATTATAGGGATTCTAATATAAAATTTTAATAAGGACCAATATGCTAAAGTAATCCAACTACAAGAGGATAATATGTAGTTAGCCCTCTAGTAAATGTCTGACACAAGATTGATACAATTTGACACAACTGGATATTATGATAAAAACCATATATCTAGTAAAATTTTCTCAATATTTTTAATTTTATTTTTAAATTCAGCATGTATCGGCACTCAATATATCGGATCAGTACTATACTTACCCGAAGCCTAACCAGTAAACATTGGTACATGAAATTATAAATTTTGCTTACAACCATACAAATCAACCTAATTAGGAGTACCTAAAATTGCAAATCTTTCAAACATAGAAGCCAACCTAATTAACCATATCATTAGCAATCATAAATTGCTACATAGTCTTTTTACTATATGGTTAAAACGATCAAAATGGTCAAAGCAATCAAATTGCTGCTCAATAGGTATATCAATCAAATTGTTTTCTCTTGCACACTTTGACTTGTCCATTCTTTTTTTTTCTCCAAAAAGATAGCTACTTGCTACGGGTCAATAATTTTACTGAAACCAAAAGGCCAGATAGCTTCTGCTTAAGCTTCAAAGCTTGTTTCTGGTGCTGACTACTCAAGACTCAATAGCTTCGTAATGTTGTTGGGTGCTGAGGAAAGCAGGCAGAGAACGAAATTGTGTGCAAGTCCACCAAATCATCCAAATGGTTGAGATAAAGCCTTAACACGAGATTTGTTGTTGACCTCAACAGATGAGCCCAATCCTCTTGATTCTTATCAATGTGAGATGCCAAGACTCACTGATATATGAAACAGATGGGTTGTGACACCGCACAATATATCAGTTGAGACACATCTTAAACAATGGGCAAGAAATTGACCACTATAATCACAAGAAAGAAAAATTAGGGAGCCATTTACTCCACCTGTTTGTAGTCTAAACCAGATCCATATTTCCACGCTTCTAGATGTCGAGTCCATTCGTATTTCTTCCTTTCAGGAAGGTAATTAATCCATGGCCTTGTAGAAAATGTATCAAGATATCAGGAAGTTGAATTTAGGAAGGTGTTAATGTGGTAAAGAACAAAACTGGTAGCTGGCACTAAACTGTTATGAATTTAGACCATAACGGACTCTACCTTACAGCAGGATCGATGTAGCTTGAAAGAAATGTGTAGTAGCCGAGCATAACAAAATGGACGGACCAGTCAAGTATCACATGTAATCCGACCTACAGAAAAAACATGAGTCAAAAAAGCATTACCAGAACTAGATTAGCTATTTCCTAATACAGTATAGACAATTATAAAGAACCCAACCAAGACAACAGTAATAGCTAGCCAGCGAGATAGCATATTGTGAAACTTGCACATACAATTTCCAGCATTCCCATCATTTTGATCACTGAAATTGAGAACATACACAAAAGTCATGATGCTGATGCTGATCCACAAGAAGATTAGTTAATCAACTCTCAAGTCACAAGGTCACTAGCTAGCTCCTTGGTGTAGCTCTATAACAGCACTTCTTTTAGATCTACCAATGTTTTATGATCGAAATTTCCCAATCAATTCCCAAGTTCCAGCTATGATAGCAGTTGGACAATTGGATTCTCCCATAAACCTAATCCCTGAATAGCTCTGTTGAATCACCTCTTTTTGAAACTAATGTATTTACCCCTACAAGGTTCAGGTAGTTAGTTATTGAAATTCATGTCCAACAGCTGGCTTGTCCAAATCAAAGTAGTTGTAAAAGCTCGACTCTATTTAACACCATTAACACTAGAGAAGCTACAAAAACAATAGCATATTTCAAGCGATTTGCAAAACTAGCAGCTGAAACTCATCTCTACTCACAAACGATCAACTTCACACAACTGCCACCTGTAAAATAATATTATTCTATAAAAAACTTCTGGAGAATAACTTCTATGGAACAAAATACAATTAGTATGATTCTTGATGAAACTTCAATTGGAAATGAAATATAAAATAACTAAAAAGCAAATCGAAAAAAAAAAATCAGAAGTGATTTACCACATGATGAATATCTAGCCTAAGTAGAATGATATTGTAGAAATTATGGCATTAACATTTACAGTATTAAAATCCAAATTACTGCCCTCTAGCTCAGTACTCATTGCATACAGATTATATCATGGCCTCCTATAAGAAATATCAACCAACGGACAATATCTGAGTGTCCAGATCAAAAGGTCAGATCAAGAATAACAACTTTAAGGAATTGAAATTCAATTCCACTAGATAAAACATAAGGGAAAAGCTATGAAAGAATTTCCATGTTATCAAGTTTGATTGTTGTCTTTTTAATGCCTTAAATGTTTTGGAAGTAGTTAATCTCCTAAATGATGAAGTACTCTCCCTTATTTGATAACCAAGCAAGGTTTATCATACTACGACGTACCGCTTGGTATGGGTGATATGCATCGATCCGATAGAGGACCAGTACGGGTGGTACATTGGTACACCCTCATGTGTTATATGTCGGTATGCTTGGTATGATTCGATATAACTTGGTACATACCTGTTAGGAAAGTCCTAATTGAGAGGGACATTCATGTAGAACGTTTTTTCTTAGAGAAGAATTAGGAATTGTAAGGGAATATGAGTCTTGAGTAGGAGTCCTATTAGGAGTTGGTTAAAAGTAAGAGTCTTAAGTAGGAGTCCTATTAGGAGTTAGGGTTTAGAAGCCCTATAAATAGCCATGTATTCCTTCTCTTTTTCTTAAGCAATAGATGAATCTTTTATGTAGCCTTTGAGCAGCAACTTGGAGGGAGGAACCCCTATAGAGTTCCAAGGAGGCCGATCCCCTAAAGAGATCAACCCCAAGTTTAGAATCTACAAGGGTTCTAACAATACCATACCATAGCTGGTCGGTACACCGGTACGGATTGGTAAGACGAACCATGTAATAAAGTATGATGTTTGCAAGACGTAGTAAGGGAGAGTGGTATGTAAACCAAATTCTTCAACTCCTAAAATAAAAATTACATGGAGCAATAAAATTTATAAAAGATGGTACAAGTGATAAGATTGACATGTCTTGAAACGAAAAATATTAAATTCAATCAGTTGAGTAATGATACAAGGTGATATAGAAAGTATAGAGATCTACGAAAATCCAACCTCTAATAGCATAAACTGTGGTAAGATTTTGCATGGGTTTGATCTAGATACACATGGATCCAACCTACAAATATGTACATTAGCTTAGATTCATGCAACTAGACTTAGAACCATGTAGATCTACACTAGATTTTCATATATTTAATATAGATTCATGTAGATCTATCCTAGATCTGCATATACCCAGCATAGATCCATAAAGATCTATTGTAGATATAGGTCATACTTTCATCATTTAATTCAATTTTTATTGGTTGTTAGAAACTAAGAAGAATGTTACTGAAGAAACAAAACACTAACACCACCTGCAGTAGTATGTTTGTCATTTACAGTGCAGCCATGATTCATTGAATTATCCAATACAAAAGATTCAACTCATTGTGGCTTGCATCCTTAGCTTGGTTTCTAGTTGGTATCCTTTTTAGAGTGCACAGAAAGCTTACAATTTCTCTTTATTAACAGTTAATGCTTAATGGAATCATTAGTAGCACAATCTTCAACTGTGTAATCTAGGTTAAATACTGGCTTCCTCTGTCATGATTTTGCAATTCAAAACATTGCCTATGTCATAGTGTAGACAAACATGATGATCCTTGAAAATCACCAACACTAATATTGAGATCTGCCTCCCCTAATTATTTGTTATCAGTAGGTAGAATACTTTGTCATGTAATATCCATGGACCTGTCATTCACATGGAGATATGATATTCTATCAGAAAGAAATTCACCCTGATAGACAATATTCCACTTCACAACAAGGCAGCAAAATGAGTAAATGAGACGACACAATCTTGACATAAGCGAAATGAAATTCACCTGCTTAAATATTGATGGCAAGATCTGAGGTTGGTTTATCATCACAGAAACCAAGGTCCTTACAAGGGGTTCAAATTGTATCACATCCTACAGAAGTAAAATATACCAATTATATCAGTCTTCTGTTCATTTATCTTGGTTTAAGATAGCAAAATAAAGAATATAACAATTAAAACATACTGCACTAACCTGTAGGAAAGGCCTAATCACAGTATTCCCAAGCTTCTGATGAAATACGATTGAGACATCATTAAAAATATTGAAATATAGAATAATATGCAGAATTCATTTCTCTTTTTGGATATATATATATATATATATATATATATATATATATATAGTCAAGAAATATTAGTTTACCTGCATAGCTTGGAAATTGAAATATAAAAGTTCATTAATAAAAGTTGATGAAACTTCAGTATGCACCCTTGCTGACATTGCTCGTTGAAATAACCATGATGCACTTAAGTTGGGCTGCAATGCTTTTTAGTGAAGGCCAGGTCCAAGAATATGAAATTGACATATAAAATGAAGGATAATACTAACCATGTAAGGGTTTATCAAGCTCAAACTATATGCATCAATAAAGTTTCCCTTTACTGCTTCATATATACCTAATCTCCAAAAAAAAAAGGGGAAGAATTTCAGATTGTGGTCTTTTCTATTATACGATACAGCATACAAGAGCAGTACAGCATATAATATTACGAAGCTAAAAACAGAAAAATAAAATCTGATAGTAATTCTTTTATTATGACTATTAATTTAAGCTCCAATAAGAACTGACAAAATCATGCATAACGGGATATAGTTCTTGAGCACAAACTCTATTCCCTAATTGTATATAGCTGATACAGAAAAAAAATCCAAATTGAAAGTTTCTAAGATGCACAGCTTGTGTGTTTCTAGCCATTCATACCAGTTGACAACCGGTTTAGGTGTCTAGTCATACTCCCAAAACCACCAAAAGATACTGGTGATTGAATACCACTGGCATCACCAACCTGCACAGAACTTCTGGTGAACATGGATTAATCTAATTAAGAAATTTCCTTACTAGATAGAACCACAAGCAAAATAAAAAACCTGTAAGATGCGATCAAAAGCTGCAGGCAGAGGGCTGTAACCACGAAGGAGATAGATGTTAGAGAAAATTAGCATACTTCAATTTGAAAAAGGTTAAGAAATTCGTAGTCACAGACTATATGATAGACCATTTTGCATCTCAATAGATAAAATGTTCAAAGGCTTAGTTACCAATTTGTTAAAAGGAAACTAATATACATAATATACATCATCTATCATACCATATAGGCATATACGATGGTAGATCTAGTTTTAGATATTGTCCTAAAAATCATCATATGTAGGAACTTGATCAAAGAACATGCATTGATTGTCTCCGGAAAAGAACATGCAACAATGCAATTGTATTTTCAAATAGGCTCTGCCTATGTTTACCTCATAAAACCAAATTTATACATACATACATTCAGATTCTGGAATATGGAGTGCTAATTTTGCTATGCCGGGCTCAAATCCAGTTTCATAGCTAACAAGATTTGGCTTTATCTTTTTCATATAATAAGCTGCAATAGTTAACATCCTATATCAGTAAAGCCACTAGAAAGTTCAAACTTCAATAACATCAAAATTACTTCTTGAATAATCCTCAAGCATTGGGTACTATGCAATATGGATGATGGAGCATTTATAAGAACTGAAGACCAAGATTATTAGTTGCATAGATCTAGGATAATCTAGGCTAGTTACATGGATAGAGGCTAGATCTTTGCAATCTAGCTAGATCCATAACTGGCTTTCATACAGATGCTTGGAGTACAGAGGATTGGAGAAGTTAGTGTATCTCCAATACAACATGCATCCATGGATGCGTTGTATTGAGATAGAAAAGAAACTAAAGACCCAAGCCAGATTGATTCATTTTGACTTCCGATACTCTAGTGATGATTTGGATCCAATGCTCGATTGGGTTCACATAGCAGAGAACTTAAATGACTCTCTACTGATGAGGCAATAGACCTCCCACACCCCTCTCGTTTAAGTACCGCGGCGATACGAAAGGAAGAGGAACAATAGGGTCACAAGGTACGGATCAATATGAGAAAGAGATGCATCCAATATTAGGATGTGGCCAGATTTCGGACAGTCAGTCTTCCAAAGGCCAAGACAGGACATAGTGATACATTCAACTATCACAACAAGGGAAAGGGTTGAGCTTCACAGTCAATTGATCTGTTGGATGCAATTGGTAAGAAATAGTTTCAGCCAGGACTTCATCATAATTCATGCTCTGTGGAGTTCGTGGATGTAGTAGCAATATCAACTACAGTATGTCCATCGACAATGGTGGCCAAGGCAGTCAGTCTCATGGACTTGAGCATAGCTCAAGGAGCAGTATCTCACTCATGCTACTCAAGATACGGATCACACAACATGAGGATCGTTTCTGGCTGCAAAGGTTCAATTTTCTTTGATACTACTTTTTATCCATGTCCAATATATGTTTTGATTTGGTATTTATATAATCTAGACTAAAATCATTTTAGTGTTATCAATATTGTTCATATTTGTCATGAAAAGTTAAGAAGTAACACTAAAATAGATTTTTAAGTTTTCAGCCAAATTTCATACTGCCATTACATGCCAGCACATTGTGTGTCGATATGTTGGCATGTATTGGATCCATATCGGTCCATTGTTAAGTTGGCACGTATTGGACCCATACCAGTCCTGGCCTGAACTGGCATGAATCCAGTACCTGAAATTGAGTTCCTTGATTAGTTGACAGAGATTCGAGGTTTTAGATCATTAATATTCTGTAACAGGTCAAGTTTATGTTCAACACTTGAGGGTTGTCTAGGGATAGGAACTGACAAGATACAAATAAAGTACATTAATACTGAGCAAAAAGGCAAACTATTCATCTTCTGCAAAACCAGTCAAAGCACCCTTTTAGGCCCCATCTCAATATGAAGCAACTGTAATCAAATATAGAGTCCAAGGCTTTATTACCATCAGCATAAAAAAAATTAGCGTGATATGGCTATCTTGAACAAGATTAATGGATGACAGCTAATCTGACAGTGATGGTTGCATTTTATCACGTAGATATTATTCACATTCTTTCTACTCTTTGGGTATCAAACCTAGAAAAGGTCTCACGAGACCCTTAGTACTGGAATACAGGCACCTTGTTGGACCTGAATAATTTATGTCTCCCCCTTAAAAAATTAGATTAATCTAAGAACACAAAAAGCTCCAGAGAAATTGGAGCTTAAGATAATATGTAATCCATCGGGTTAATATAAAAAACAAAGAAACCCCAGAGGAATGTCCAAATCGCAAGTTAATCAGTCACCTTTTAGCCTTGATGAATAAAACCATAATTTTTCTGCTAAAGCTTAAATTCCTACTTGTGTTGTAACTTGTAGTAACTGTAATTAGGAAGTAGAATCATTACATTTGCAGTTGCACAACTAGCTTATCAGTGATGAATCTCAATGTGTGGGGTTGGAGAGAGGACAACTTGCTAAAGGGCTTTTGTATTATAGAAGGTACTGATTGCCTGCATGAGATTCATACCAAATATAAATGGTACAGATACTTCTCTAAAGGTACTCATGCTAAAGGAACAGGCATTAGTGTTTGATTAATTGAACATTTCATCCAAGAGTAATGGCCAAGATATACACTCCAATCCTTTTGCATTCCAGCACAAGGCACCATTCTTAACACAACAATCAAGCTTGTGAGATTAAAAATTTACCAAGATAAAAAAAAGGGTTTCTCAAATTGGATGGGACTGTCACTTTTGTGCCATCTATTGGAAAATATGGAAGGAGGGCTGATGTAAGAAAATTCCTTGAGAGCTAGGTCTCCTTCAAACATCTTGGAAACTTTGGCTATCTCAAGGGAAAGATTCTGAAAAGACTGACGGCTTTTGTAAAGTTACCTGCTCTGTTCCTTGTAATTTCCTATCCCCTTTTTAACTACATTTCCCTCTGTGCTTCCACTTTTGAGAGGCCCCATGTACCTTGGTTAATTTCATTTCAGTGACGAAATAAAATGGATGGGCTTAATCAGCCTTTCTTATGTAACAGCACGCACGCATCCGCATGTGCGTGCACAAGGGATCATTCTTCAATAAACCTTCTAGGAATTAGAAGTGACTTTCTACTCAACTTTAGATTGCACACAACATCTTCGCAATTCCACTTTGTCATTGCTAAGTTAATTAGCATTAATCTGAGCATTTCAAAAGATTAAAGAGAGAAAAAAGGGAAAATCATTCATAGAACAAATACATTGACCTCCTTCCTCAGCTATCCACACAATGCTCTGGTAACAGACATAATGTACATTGTTATTGTGGAGAAAAGTGATGAATGAGAAGGCAAGTTTTATTATTCAGCATCCTTCAATACTCTGATTGATCAGAAAAATAATAATTGCTTCTGTGAGTGGTTTCAAGGTAGCATCAATTAAGAATAATGAGACAAAAAAGGTAACAAGAAACCATAAAAAGAAAATGATATTCCTTGGTAAAATGCACTTAATTTAGCTAGATATATAAAATTTACAGATAGCCATAGTACATGATAACATAGTAGCAAGTCAGCAATACTAATAAAGTAATAATCATAACAACAAATCAACAATCATAATGACAGTATCTATAATAATAAAATATGGTATCAGATGAAGTATTCCTAGTGTACTTGCTTACTTTTGGGGCATCATCTCCTTGACAACATAAGAAAATTGCTTAGTCCAAGCATTCACAAGGAATGTCTTTTGAACATTAGAAGAAATTTTGCTTCTAAGACAGATAGCAGCATAATTAGCTGATTACACTTCTAAGTTCTAAAAGTACTCTAGGATTCATAATTTGTTCAAGGAGGCTGAAGTACATTAGAAATCCTCTTGAATAACCCAAGATTAAACTGAAGCAGACAATAAAAGAGCTGCCAAGGGACTATAATCACGAAGTTCTAACTAGAACAGAAAAACCTGGTGAACGTGATGAAAATGAAAATATATACATAGTACATACTGTGATGATTGTAAGGATCCAACATATTCACTAATTTGCTTTGGGAGATTAAGATACAGCAAAAAGCCCAAGGTCATGGGAATATTCTGATTTGGAGTGATGGGGGAAATAACATAGAAACTCAAGTTCCTCATAATCTCATATTATGATGTCAAAACCACATAATCAATTAGAATAGACAGATGATTAAAGTTATCATGAGTGCACTTCAAAGAAAAAAGACGAGGCCCAAGAATATAGAGAAATCCTTACTAATAAGTGCCAACAAACATATAAAAGTCATTTTGATCATCTACCTGTCACGATAAGTAGGGAAGATCCCAAATATTACTCTTAGTATTTCCAATTCCTCAAGAGGTACACCCTTCAGCAAAAATATCATTATGCATGTCAATTATTTATTCCTTTTGAAGAGAGTTAAGCTGAAATTTGTTACTATAAGCAGTATGCTTTTAGGGCTGATAAAAGAACGGAATTTAAAGTGAATACAATTTTTTAACTTCTTTTTTATTGAGATGAAAAACTTACCAGTTGAGCTATCATTCATACATAGGATTCAGAAGTCAAGTTCTTGGGACTGTTTTTATACATACTACAATGGTACAAACAATTCAAGTGACCAATAAGCCTCTCAAGTGCTTATAGGCCAACTACAAAGTGGGAAGCTCCTTACCCATACACAAATTTATTCCAAGAATGTCATTGTATACTGGAGTAACCCAAAATGCATCTTAATGAAGTTGCTAACTTAGCTGGTAAAGATTATTGTTCTGGGATCAAATCCCACCTTCACCACTTACCACTTGCAAAATCCATCATAATTATGTAAATATAAGATCGAATATATTTGTCTTGATCTAATAATATTAAAAGTATAAATAAAGTTCCAGATATTTTGAGTAATTTTGAATGACAGAACATCTGACACTAAAATCATGACCTTTTATTTGCGATGATCTTTTTGAACAAGCAAGGATTTCTAGAAAATTTAATTCTTTTCTTGTCAAAATTTCAAGAGTTGATCATCAAATCAATGTGGTCGAGTACCTTCTTTTAGAACTGAAGAGTAAATCACATCATCTTTCAGTCAATATCGATCCTAGATTAAATCACTTAAATCATCCATTATAGGGAGATACACTTACCAACACAAGCCTTTACTAGTCTTGAGTTATAGAAAGAATGCAGAAAGTCAAATTACATTGTTAAGATATTGGGAAAACCATGCAGATGCTACTAAAGATGCCTAAATATGACATGCAAAGCAGCTAAGCTAAACTAACTAATTAGATGCAACACAACGAATAACTGAAAAGATAAAGCAACAATAGCCTATTTTTGAGCAATTTTTGAGCAACAATAGCCTCACAAGCCAAGAAAATAACTGAGGCCACGAAGAAAAAGAAACCAATATAACATTATAATAAACACGAAGGAACTAATCTGATTTGTTTATAATATGTCCCTGAAATCCTACAGGTGCTAGGATATAGATCCTCATTGTTTCCTTTTGAGTAACTTATGGGCTTGTTGACAAATGACTGTTGTGTGATGCTTTAAGCTGTTCAAGGGTATTTTGGAAGGAAAATATTCAGTGATTCAAGAGTTTCAAAAGAAACAAATTAGATGCAGGAGGGATTTGTCTTGTTTATTCTGGGGCTTGTTTGATATGAACAAAACTTGCTTCAGTTGCATTTGATGGTAAGTTTAGGTAAAAGCTGAACAAGATTTGTGGCTTAGAGTGGACAGCTAATAGAGGAAAAAAAAATGCTGCTGGAAGCTTGCACATCATCTTGCATCTGACCAGTAACTATTTGAGGACAGTGCAGGCCTGTGGTAGCTCTCATCAGCTAGAGATTGAAGAAAGAGAAAAAGTAGGATGGGAGAGTGTTCAGAATATATTGTTGGATTGTTTTTCTATCTTTAGGAAGTTTTAGTTAGTGGGGTTGATCAAGGAGAGGTGGCAAGAGAATGGCAACAGAAGTGAAAAAAATGAAGAGGAGGCATCACTAGTTGAGCTTGGCGAAAAACCTTGAAGAGGTATTATGTGATGATGATTAACTCTATTGACAAATTGTGTTGATAATTATCACATCTAGTGAAATATAGCAATGAAAGAGAAAAGCTTAGTAAGTGAAAGGACTTCAAAGTTCAAACCTGTTAAGGACCAAGCAACTCCACACTCTACAACATGGAAGATATTAAAAGATATCAAACCATCAGTTTTGCTTACAATAACTTGTGCAAAAATGATTGTGTCTAATTGTATCCAGTTAAACTGCACATATTTATCCTTTTCAGGGCTGCATATGTAGCACCAAAATACTAGAATAATGTTGCATTTAAATTCATACTTAGCAGTTAGCAGTTAGCAGGCTTGAAACAGGTCTCTCAGTCTAGTTTGGGCTAGGTTTAAAAACCACTTGGATGGCAGCAGTATTGTCAGGTAGCCTTTTTCAATGTCGCACTAGCAGTAGTACTGCCAAGCCTCGTGATGGCACTGCCTGCTAGCCGTTGGATCTTGTTTTTCAATTTTTCTAACTGTTGATAAGGATTTGCCTTTATGTAGCACTCAAAAACCTAGTTTAAAGAGGGCTTGGAATAAGAAAACTTTTTAGTGATAAAACTTCTGTGTGCAAGCTTAGACATTCCTTTGATTTTGTGCTTGATCATTAAAACTTGAAACAGGCACTTACCCATTGGCTTTAGGTGTTCATTTTAAGAGTGAAAATTGAAATCAAGAGTAGCATTAATTTATAAGTGCGACTGTAACAGCTGTTTCTCCTTGATCCCTAAAAAAGGAGAAGTCCATAAGTCTGATCTTCACCCGAGGAGGTCCTACTTGTGGAACAGGCAGCTTTAAGGAGTCAAGGAGACTAGAGGGTGGACCAAGGCCAGTGTTCCAAATCACTACAAAAGTTGCAAATCCAGTTTCTACTTCCCTTTACATTTTACACTGCACCCATTATTTATTGTCTCATTAATTACTAAGCAAAAAAGATTTTTTTTAATGCACTAATTGAACCCTTTACCCCTCCTTAGTGACATTCTGATCCAACATTAAGCACTTTACACTTTACAGTATTTTCATGACCAAAATTCTAGCAAGTATTTAGCTACATGTGAATTCAAATATAACGAGTGTAACAAAATGAGTGACTTCTAGATCCCAACAAACAAAACTAAAGACAAAGCCTAGGCTAGATCTTTTTGTTCTCTCAATTCATTAAAGGTAGTGACTATTTTGTACCTTCTAGCAGAGAACTCAATTTCACCCAGATCAGTCCATACCATTTGGTATTTACTGGAATGGGCATAAACCAAGATGCTGATCGTCTCATTTTGGGTGGTCCAATTAATTAATGGCAGATTTTTCATTTTAAAAGGCCCGAAAACCAGAATCTTTTAGGGCTCACGACTCCTTGCAAGCCAGTTTTCCTTTACATATCACCCATTGTCCACCTCATCTTTAGTACTTAATCTTCTCCTGCTCCTCTTCCTCCACTGCCTCCTCTTGCTCCTACTCCTTTCTTGTTCTGCCTTCTTGCTTCTTTCTCCCCCATTTCCAACAGAACTGTACCACGATATAATGGAATTTGTCGTCATACAGTGTGTTGGCATGCAGACATGGAGTGGACCTGTACTAGTCTGGTAATCAACCAGTATGGATCTGGTACCAGAAATTTCATTCCTTGTCCTGTAAAAAGCGCTTCAAAGTTGCTTTCATTCCTTGTACCAGTATGGATCTGCCTCCTCTATCTATAGCATTTTTTTTATTGATTTTTGGAATAAACCAACTCTATTTTACGGTCAATTTAGAGACTGATTCTTCATCTTATATGGATATAGTCATAGAGTTGAAGTATGGTACACAATGCACTATATTTCATAAACCCTGCTCATTGTGTGTGGTTCATTGTTACTTTGTACTAACCTGATAAGAAGGCAAAAGATCCCAATAGTCCTCTAAAAGGTGTTCCAATTTCGGGGACCCAGGTTTTGCTTCAACATAAGTGAACATATAAGTAGTCCGGTCTGTAGGACCAGTGCCGGCAGGAAAAGCCTACAAACATTTAAGTTAAGATAAATAAGTGTTCAGGTAAAGCATACTTCTATAGAATCGACAAGAAATCTAAGCAAGACCTTTACATATTTTTTTTGTATTATCTCTATATCCAACTTCAGTATTGTTATATGGCTGTTATCTAACTATAATTTATATTTCAACTTCCATAGAACCAAATTTTAGTGAGCTACAGGAGAAGCAGGTAACATCAGCATATGACACAGATAAGTTGTTAAAGCACTTCAAAGATGGCCAGAATTGTATATTGTAATTCCTATGAATATAAAAAGAAGATTACTATTTGCAACCCTTTTTTTGTTATTCAATCCCATGTTAAGAATTTTGAATATTCCTAAGTTATCTCTTTGTAAATAGACGTATATATCCTCAATTTATAACTTAATTTCAATAAAATCTTTTCAATCCTTACCTACAACCCTCATTTATTTCCTTTTTTTCCTTCTTTTTCTTCTCCTCCTCTTATTAATCGCTGGAGATGATGTAAAATGACGAAAAAAAAAGATAGATGATGAAATGGTACAAATTAAATATCAAAGAGGAAGAGGTGAGAAATAGTTTCTGACATTTGTTATAATAATTTAATATTTTTTGGGTTATATACATTCTGCAATAGCCTAGAAGACACTATATTCTAAGTCAGTTGCATTAACCCAGAAAATATCATATTTCAGACCTTTGCAAATTGTCCGGTAGGGTGCACGAGTGGTGGAGAGAGCTGGTGATAGTAGGGTGTGCAAGTAAGGACTGTGGGGAAGGAAAAAAGGAAAAAGTGAAGGATAAAAGCAGAATTAAAGAGGCCATAAATAGTATAATATTATTTTATTAATTTTTTAAGGGGTTCTGAATAGGAAGGGGATTGTGAATAGTAAGAAGGGGCCTCTAAGTAGTAAGCTCCTATAGAAATTAGTTTAAGAACTTTGGCTGCAGGCAGCATTACTCTGTAATTGAACTAAGCAAAACAGTTTAATTTCTAAATTATAATCACAACTTTACCCTTTTTACTTTTAGTTAGCCTAAACTGAATTACCTCCCAAAAGTATTGTAGCGGGGTCTCTTGAACCTTCTTCACAGATGAGCTGCTAAAAATTATATCACTTGATGTGTTCTCACTGAAACCACGTGAGCAAGAACCAACTACAAGACATACGCCATCTGGCTTCCTGCAAGATCTTATCTGAAAAAAGCGAGACAATTAGATATTCAAAAAACCTATAAAAGGTTTGATACAGGAAGAATTTAGACTCTAAATATAATATATCAAGTTGTATGCACACCATAAGTTTGAGTATTATGAGTTTTGTTTTATGTTGAATCTTCCTTTCTTTTCCATTTCTAGTGTCATCACACCTAGAAACTTTTCCAAGTCCAACATCCATTCAACTCAACGTACCGGTGTTCCTGCTTTTAAGTAGTTGGACATAGATCAACTCTTTCCCTGACCACAGCTTTTCTAGGTCCTTCTTACACGACTAAAAGCTATTGTGTATATTGCAGAACAAAGACAACATCACTAGTTCCAATAAATTCAACATGCCATTTTACTCATCAGCTATATGGATCGTTTCCCACAACCAAACTATGTAAAGGAACCATAGTGGCAAATCTGAGAGCTATCAATTCCTTTTCTAGCGTTTCTTCTTTTTATATTTGAAGAAAATTCTTATTGTTTCTTAAAAATTCTTCATATGGCCTTTCTCTGACTCTACTAAAACCTAATCTGAATTAAGCCACCAGTTGCCTAAAAAGTCTAAATTAATTCACCTAATTGCATTGGTGCATTAACCAATCTTTGAAAATGTTCAATCTATTAAAATTTTTATTTTGAAAATTGATACCAATGATCTTGCCATGTTACTTACTAGAGGATCTCCAATGTAGTTTAAGGATAGATTTTAAGATTTAGAGGTATACTGAAAATTAATTGTCTCAAATTTCAAGTCACAAAGTTTCAGGACAACAAGTTCAAAATTATCAAATTCTGAGCCACCAGTGATCTTGCCATGTTAATTAGTAGAGGATCTCCAATGTAGGGCAAGGATAGATTTGAAGATTTGCATACTGAAAATGGATTGTCTCAAATTTCGTGCCACAAAGTCTCAAGACATCAGGTTTAAAGTTATCAGATGCAGAGCTACTAAGTTCAAGGCACCATAACTTAATGATCTTTTGTAATATGTCTTAGTTAATTGAGAAAATTAATAATGATGTTGGTGGTTAGGTCCTTAACATATAACACATCTATGAAGGAGAGGAATAGGGAACTTATCATACAAAACATATGAATTTTTACTTAATGCACAAAACAGAAGCTAAATGACAAGGTGTTTGAATCATTTATGGAACCTTTTCACATGTGAGGTCTGAGACTACAAGACCAAGAACATGAATCATGATATTGAATCCTAACATACAAGGGCTTATGAGTATATACTGGACACTGGCTGACTGGTGAACTACAAAATATGTGTGTAGGTATGGTATACTTCAATATTCTGTTGAGAAAAATATTGAGATATTGCTCAAAGTACCAGTATATATTTATACTACACTGTACCAGTGCGGCTTCAGAATGATAGAAACAGTCAATTTGATCAGATTTTTAACCAATGTTAGGACTTGTATTAAGTCACATCAGCAAGATCAGCCATTAACAACACAAGATTAGTTTCTTGTTGACTTAATTCAGCTAGTGTTTAAATAATGTCCATAGTAGTGGACAACTGGACATAATTGAGTTCCTTCCATTCCTTTTCTTTTCTAGCTAGTGTTCAAATATCCAAATATAATTTAGTTTCAAATTTGTTCCTTCCATTCCTTTTCTTTTCTATCTTGAAGCTTTCGTTAATCAAATGAGTAAATAGGATCTTGTGTATGTTATGCCTCTAAAAAGGTATGTCTTAGAGCAATCAAAACTCTTTCCATGACCAGATAATCTGGATACATCTTTGGACTTATCAAAATTGTTGAATAAAATATAAAGGAGTAAAAATCTCGGTCTACTAATGGAACAACTCTTCGGTTGTCCCATAAAGTAATGTATTATACTATGTTATTGTCTAATACCTGTCGATTTAGAGCCCAATAACCTTTATTAAGCTCTGCCTTCACATTTCTTTTGCCTCAATTGTGAATCAGAATATGTCTTTACTTTCCAAAACATATTATGAGTCATATGTCAAGAATACATTAAAAAGTCTATAAAAAGCTTTGTAAAGTTACGAATACAATCACTAGAAAAGCCGCAACATGCTGTATTCAATGCAGTGACTACTACCACAAAAAGGAAAATCATGCTGGATCAGCAGATGGATCTAGGTTCACACTCTCAGTTACTAATTCTGATTTAGACACTAGGTATATTACACCACAGAAGTCTTGATAGGGTGCCTATCACATCACACTATTTAGGTGTTGGTGGGTAAATAGATTTTCTTGCACTTGGAGTTCAGCTTTGGGATGTTACCCTATTGAAGGCAGTTAAGTGAGTTCTGATGTTGACCTAGTCCAAGCCATAGTTCACTGATTTTGGTGCACCATAGTTTGCTCCAATTTAAAGGTGTTCCCTTCGTATACAGCCCAATAGATGGTATACCATGCAAGGTCTGCCATACCGAAGCGTACCGCCCGTACCAAGCGGTACATACCGGTCCGACAGGTTATCGGTACGCGGACCGTCCGGTACCGCTACAGTGCTACAGTACTATATTGTAGCACTGCTATAGTATGAAAAAAATAAAAAATTATTCGGTACACCAGGGTGTACCGCTCGGTATGCCCTGATGTACCACCCGGTACACCGGTACCGTACCATAAAGAGCCCGGGTCGAAACGTCGATACGGTACGGTATAGCGAACCTTATTACCATGAAATTATATTCCAAAGTTTTCTTATTTTCATCATAACATATTTCCTTCATGGCACCTTTAGTGTGATTCTTGCATATTTATTCCAGTATTAGTTGAGTTCTTAAAAAGCAACATTAGCAGAAGAATAATTCCAATATATGTAAACAGCCAATTTATTGCATCAAAAGTTTCACAATGCATTTCACCCTACCAGGCTACCACTAATGCCCTGGTTATCAAAACTCGGGCAGTATTGCTAATTGTAATTTTCTTTGCTACTGCTAGTATTCTCATCTACAGTAAACGTACTACTGCACAGTGCAACAAGTTGCTTTTGAATTTTCAATTTGTCTAATATAGGATGCAAACTAACAACAAAATGAATTATGTAAGACTTGAATTATTGGAATTCTGGTAAAAATAACTACGATAGTTGGTCGATCAATAACAAAAGATGGATATGTGATATCTTCAGTTGAAAAGATGATTTTGATATAGCTAATAGTCTTTATGTAGTAAGTTCTGGTAGAGAAAATTTAAACCAGAGATGTTGTTTGTTACCCTAAAGTGCAAAACTGTATAATAGAAAGACTTTGAATGGCCTTTACATCCACAGTTTATAATCCCAGAGCGAGTCTGATATAATACCTGATCTATGTAGTATGTAAGACTGAACTGAACTAAGCAGATTTCTTGGCCTTAGAGTCAAACATTGGCAAATAGGGATTGAGTTACGCAGAAATAGTAAGTACTAGTGTACTACAGCATGATACTGCACCAAAATATTGACTTACCTGTTTCACTATTGGAGAAAAATTGCCCATTGAATCAATAATAAGATGAGATGACAAAATTTCACCATTTGTCAGTTGCACAATCTAAGAAATATAAACATATTAATTATTAGCATCTAATACAGCATGATACTGCACCTTAAAAATGTAGCGAAGAACAACAAAAGTAGAGAAACAAATAAATAGATCGCTAGAATTTTATAACAAATGCATGACGTAAGGCAAAAAAAAGAATGTTGAAATTGAAAAAGTTAAGAATCTCAATACTTTTTCCAAACACATGATTTAGGCTTCTGAAAGATTTTGAAGACAAGAAACACGTAAAGCTCTACCATAATTTGATGTGGTCAAACTACTAGCAGAAATAAAATTTTGTATATAACATAAGAGCCAAGGAACAAAACAAATTTGTCAAGGAAAGGACGATGGGAACTTTACGAAGCCATTACTCATATCATACTGCAGCAGTTTAACACAGCCCTAGTTCCTCTTGGTTATCTTGCAGCAAAGATGTGCATCTCAAAATTTTTTATTCATAGATAAAGTCCATTAGGGTTGGGGAAGAATAGAAAGTTCAAATCAAACTTGGTATCTTATTTATTTCCAGGATTGATTTATAGTGTTCTCTTTTGTACACCTGGGATAAGAACAACATTGATTGAATTGCTGGTTCAAGAAGACTATGACTATGTAACTTTAAAAACTTATTTGAAGAAACAACATGGAGATGATTTTTTTGGGGAACCCATACTTTCAGGTATATATAGAATTTTAGATGCCAAAAACATATGGACAAAATACCAAGCCAATTAAAACAGGATAAAAATTCATTTTCACCATGCTAATTTGTTAATTGACTACTATTGGTCAACTTGATAAAGAGACCATAAAAGAAAAGGCAACAACAGAGGCATCCAAAAATATTCAAAACACAGAAATGACACATCATTATGAAATCAGTCTTCGCCAGCTAAAGCATTGTAGGCCTGAGTATATCTTTTTCTTTATCTTTGATGCAAAAAGCCCTACAGACTTACAAACAAAGGCTGACGACAGTAATTGATTTCTATTATCTTATGCAGTAATTTAAAAAGCGCTAGGCGCCAAAGTCCAAAACCGCCCGAGGCGCTAGGCGCTCGCCCAGGTGCTTGCCCGAGCGAAGCGAGGCGCTAAAATATAAAAATATATAATATAATTAATAAATATAATTATTTAAATAAAAATATGATATTAAATTAAAAAATCTTACAAAATCACAATATCACATTAACAAAAAATCTCAAAATTCAAAACAATAACAATAATTTTAAATAAATAAAAATTAGCAGTATTAAAATCAAAATAATATATTATTAATCTAATAAATAAAAAAATATTGTTACTATTATACAGTTAACGGTATACTATTAATATACTGTTAACAATATACTATTGAGTCGATGTGAGAAGAGGTAGCAGCGAGCAACGGTAACGGGAGTGGGAGAGGCGAGCGACGACAGTGGCAGGTAGCAACGAGAAGTGGCAATGGCAGCGGGAGCGGCGAGCGATGACAGCGACGAGCGACGACAATGGCAGCGGCAGCGGTTGCAGCGAGCAATGGGAGAAGGAGCGGGAGCGATGAGCGGTGATAGTGGCAACGGTAGCGGTAGCGGTAGCAGTGAGCAGCGGCAGCAACAACAGGAGCGGGAGTGACGAGCGACAATAGTGGCAGCGGTAGCAGCGAGCAGCGACAGCGGTAACAGTGAGCAGCGGGAGCAGGAGCAGCGACAACAGCAGCGGCGAGCGACGATAGTGGCAACGACAGCGAGGGCGACAGCAACGAGCAGGGTTAGGGTTGGGAAGTCGCGAGGGGAAGGCTGATATCAGTGCTTTAATTGGTTCCATTGAACCAACTAAAGCACCGAAGACCGAACCAGACCTAAAACGCTAGTTCAGTCGCTTGGTTTAACCCGGGCGCTTGCCCGAAGCGCCCAGCGCCTGGGCTCCGGCGAGCGCCCAGGCGACTCCTCTTTGAAGCACGCTGCCTAGAAATGAAGCGAGGCGCTTGGGCCTCGCCTCGCCTTGCCCGAGCGCCTATTGAAATCATTGATCTTATGCAACTATATGTTGAGATTTTTATATATAAATGGAATGATATTTCTTCTCTTGCATGTGATGCACAAAAGGGAAATGTGAACAAGGCCATTTTCAATAGTAAAGCTAGCACCAAGTGGTTTCATTAGCTATGCTGCATTTTGTATCTTCTTTGCAATATTTAATTTCATTATTTTACCATATTTATTAAAACAATAAATAATTGCTTGAATTTCAGTATTTTTCCTTGTTATTTTATGCATAACCCACGGTAAGGACAGAAAAAGCCTACTCTGATGATTAATGTCAAAGCCAAACTATTCAAGCAAAAAGCTGTGTTGCTGTCTTTCAATTGTTTGATCCTTTATCTTGAAATCAACTTTGTAGCAGGTAGAAAGTTCCAGTGCTTTTCATTGTTCCAAATTCAGATTTTTTAAGCCTTTATTTTCTAAAAAGATAGAAAATAAAACAACAGAAATCCATGTGCTGTTCCTATTAGCTCCAAATACAATAGAATCCTAAGTCAGATCTGAACAATTTTTTTGCTCAGATTTCCTGTTACTTTCAACTTCAAAAAACTCCTATTCCTAGAAGCTCATTCAAATATCTAGTCCTGTGTCAATTTGTCCTATCTTCATGGTAATTATAGGCCATATCCAGTCTTCTTTCGAGAACATTTCATGACCCAATAATAAGTGACAGAATATTTATCTATAAACAGAAGTGAAAATACACACACGGCAACAGTGACCTAGCTTAGTAAATTGAGAAGTATACTTGGAATTTAATCTCAAATGAACATAAGCAGAAAATAAGCGAGGTGATTGACTTACGGCAGCATCATCATAGATGTGTATGCTAGAGACAACTTTGGCTTCAAAAACTTTTCCACCTAAGGAAATAAAGCGTCTCTTCACAGTCTCCACAAGATTAGCTGGCCTGCAACCATAAAATGAGAATGAGTATTATAGTCTGATGTTCTTGACTGACAAAATATTAGACTAGATATGATGTTCTTTCAGGACCCTTGATAGGCGGGAAAATCCAATCATGAAAGGCATCATACTATTGAAGTATTGAGGATAAAATATTAGACTTATTTTGGTTTTAAAAGTCAATCATAGGAATGTGACCTCATGCCACATGCACATATTGTGGGAAAAAATTTTATTTATTGAACTGTATTCTCGAATACAACCCTTTCCCTCTTGTACACCATTTGCCATTGAACTAATAGATATCTTAGTTTTGCATGCATCAAGGTATGAATTTTACTTGTTTGTAAAAAATGGGATCTAATGTACTGCTTCTATCAAAATGGACATCATACAACTTCTGTAAAGTTACATGATGATTATACGTATTTGATGTGTACCAGTATAAAGTTTTGAAACATTCGAGGCTCAAATGAGGGTCCATCTCTTTATAAGATAGTTGTCTGATCTATATAGAATTTCTCACATCTCCAACTGACATTGCAGTTTCCACTTTCGATTCCGTAAATCAAGAAAAATTGCCACGAATTTTAGCTTAAGCATAAGAAGCATGAAAATGATGATATAATGGAAGGTCCATTATATCATAATGGAAGGTCCATTAGCTTAAGCATAATGGAAGTTGAAATTATTCTTATTTCAATGTGATTAACTGAGTTAAAATAAATAGTAGGTTAGATCAAGACATTTCTTAGTTACAGTGAAGTGGAAAAAATGTTATGACATTCTTAAATATCACATTCACATATGCATCGAGTAACCATCACAAAATCCCTACTTGGTATGTATATATACGATCTAGTATGGTGAAACAATAAATTTCAGTACACTAACTCACGAAACTCCAAGATTAAGAATATCCTCAACCCAAATGTCACCTTTCTTCTCGAAACCACATCTGTTCTGCAGGTTGAGCAAAAAAAGATGACTTAAACCATTAATTGTATGTGTGTATATAATTGAAATATTCCTTATTAACAGGCAGCCAGAAACAAATATCAAGAACTCACTGGATTAAATTTGACAGTAATAATATGTTCAATTTCTTCTTTTGTGAGAATGCCAACTTCTACAAGTTCTAGGAGCTCTTTTCTTGAAATATTCCACTCCTGTTCTCTCTGAAAAATAATAAAAATAATCTTGTTTGCTTAACATCAAGAGATAGCACTAGATTGACATATAAACTGTTGTAACTATCATCAAGGTCTCCCTTTATGTAGGTTATGGTAGTACCCCTTTGATCAGGTTTCTCTCAATTATTGCAACATGGAGACCTCTGGTAACAAGTGCTGTAGCAATAAATATCCCTAGTGTACCACCACAGACTAAAACATCAAAGGAACATCCCGCTTTTTCCTCCAGTTCTGATATCTTAGATGAACCAGGAACTCGGGAAACAACTTCAGGAACTTTTTCTGCTTCTGAAAATAAAGTACAAATGGTTAAAAATGAAAAAGATTGTGTTTTTCTTAATTATATCTTTTTCCATGAATTCTGAAGCAAAAGTGCAAAGATAAGAATCCATATAGTAAATAAAAAACCATAACTGTTAACCCTTGTGATACTTATGAGTACATGCTTTTTTATTGGCACAAAATGAGAAAAACATACTTGTTTTTTATTTTTTCTTCAAACGACTTATATAACAGGAATTTTAGAGTAGAGATTTCGAAGGTACGTAATTTTGTACCATACCGACGTTTCGAGCCCAGTTCGGTACGATACGGTATGAGTGTAGCAATTGGTATATATATATATATATATATATATATATATATATATATATATATATATATATATATATATATATATATATAATAACAATAAAGTTACAAAATTAAAAAAAAGGCGACGTCGCCTCGTTTCTTCTCCCTGCACAAATGAGGAGAAGTCGCTGATGACGCCGAGGCCTCGTCACCTCAGACGAGGAGGAGGTGACATCTCATCTGCGGTGTCCGACGAGGGAGGGCGACGACGGATCAGGATCGTCGAGGAAGAGTGGCGTCGGATCTCCAGGTTCTCCCTTTTCTTCTCCCTCTTCTTCCTTCTCCCTCGGCTAATACCGCCTGGTAGTGGGCGACGACGATCGAAATCGACTATTACTGATCGATTTCGGGCAGCAACGAGGAGAAAACAACCTCAATTGATGGTACCGCCCGGTAGCGGGCGGTCCGCGTACCAGTCTACTAGTGGACTGGTACGTACCGCCCGATACGAGCAGAATCATTCGAAATTAAAATCCTTAGGGATTTCTGATTCACCCATATGGCACGTATAAGACAACATATTATTTTGCTAAGGTTCTGTAGTTTCCCATTGCATGGAACTCCATAGTCCATACAAACATCATATCATATTCATTGGTATGCTTTGTTATGTTTGTATAGCAATCTTTGCTAATGATATCTAACCTATATATGGCCAAGAAACGTAAGATATGTGATCGTGCAATTTAAAGCATGATCTAAGAGATTCTAGCACCGAGTGATAATTACGTCTTTGATGCTTGAACTTCCTTTTAAGTGCCAGAGAATATTATCTTATTATTTTTTTGTTCAAAGAACAACATAAAAGAGCACTCCATAGCCACTGATTGGATCCTATTAAATACTTAATATGTGAAGGATTAATGAGCAAAAGGCTATCTTATACCATGTGAAAGAGCTACCTCTTATGACTCAAATTATGGAAATTAGATTCATAGGAGTTTCACAAAGAAAAACCTAGACTTCATAATATATCCTAAGAATCTTGAAGGAAACTATATCCATTAAACATGATCTATCAAAACTACATGCCAAATAGAACAAACTGCATAACTTCCACTGGAAATTTTAATATCTAATAGAAGCATGTAAAAATATCAGGATTACCAATTTTGTGTATCTGTACTGGTCAAGGCTCAGATTGGTATCATAATGGTGAACTGAGTGTTAGCACGCCGGTACTTACCAAGTTTTAGTAAAAACATGAAAAAAGGCTGTAAAAACAAAAGAAAGGCACTGTATAGTACAGGACCAGCACTGAGCGATACAAGGCCTGTATCGGATGGTAAAAGCCCTGAACCAAACGTATTGTTCGCATAGCGGTAAACTTTCAAACCGGTAAATACAGCTCATACCGAACAATACGGGGCCATATTGCAAACATCGATAAATATAACCCAAAATAGCAAACATCCAAGGAAAAGTTGACGTACAACTACTGAAGGAGATCAGATTTAACTAAAAATATTTTATTAGGGAAATATCAGACTGAGTCCCACTCCCCTTTAAAAAATAATAATTGTTAGTATTTTTTTTGGAAATGAAACCACAGGTTATGAGTACAACTAGTGATCAATCATTCAGCTCTATCCTACAAGCCCATTCAATTTCTTGTAGAACCTTTGAGCATTTGGTCATATTGAGAAATCCCCAGTCAAATGTTGCTTGGGATGGGTTATTCATCCAACCAGACATACATGGTCACAGGTGAAGCATTAGCAGTCATCCAAGCGACAGGCACGCTTAGTATTACTTTCTTACAAAACTTGTCAACCTTAACCAACAGCATAATTATAAATCTTAGAACATTGAAGTCAACAAATTTCTTTTTCTTTTTAAGAACATAAAATTAGTAGTAAAGAATTTGGTTGTGATTATTGTTACATAAAAATTGAGTGGAAATTAGATAGGCTTTGTTCATGGTAGAAAGTGTAGAAATTGGAAAGGCTCCGTTCATATTCATGTTATAAAGTTCTACATCTTACTATGATTGTTTCATGATATATTTTACAAGTAAAAATGTATGACACAATGTGCATAAGGTTACACAATGTGTATTGAACACAAGTTGTGAAATCATCAATCAGACTAAACAAAAAATATGCATAACCATTTTAAAGAATTTGAAAAATAACGTTAAAAAGTAAAACAAGGGATGTGCTAATGGTCATTTTACAGACACCAAAGAGAATAAAATACAACCTGTAAAGCAAGAACTTACAGTTATGACTGTTTTTCATATCATTTCATAAGATAAGTATTTCAAATTATTATCAAGAGGAAAGATAAGTAAATGCACTCTGAAAAGATATATTAAAAAACACATTAAATGTTGAATCTAATGATTTTTTTTTATTGTTTTGAATTTGTCAGCTTGATACTCAGAACCTGTATATGAATTGTTAAGTGATAGGCTCATGGGCTGAATAAAAGATGAGGTGCAATTATACATTTGAACCAAGGAACTCAATTTCACATTCCATGGAAGTCGATGGTGATGATCACGAGTGGCGTGACAATTGGTACCAGAGGATAACCGAGCAGTAGCACGAGATAGAGGCGCATGCAATGGAAGATGGTTCGGGGTAAGGTTTTTATTTTCAGGATTAAAAGAAAAGAATCAGGCCAAGCGTATCACCCAGTCTAGGCCCCAATAACCCTGATTCATAGGGCTTATCAGCACTAAACCCTGTATCCTATATGGACCATCTGAAATTGTGGTACATGTGTTGGGCATTCCATGTACCAGTTCATGCCCAACCCATTATGCAAAATTGCATTTCATGATTTCAACAATGAGCATAAATGGCATCTTAATCCTTGATACAACTATATGAATGCTTCCAAGCAATGTTCAATGATTTCTAGCACCTAGCATTCCATTAAAAAAAAGCCTCAATGTATAAAATGTTCAACTATAGAATCTAGCCCTTTTGGCTGCATTTCGAACACATAACCAAGTAGAAACTAGCTAGGGAGCCATAATTATAGAATGATATATGAAGAGAAAATAACAAGCTTTAAATGCGAAAACATTATTTGTATTTCAAGCATAGGCAACAAAGAAATAATGCAACAAGATAAGCATGGTGGTTTAATTTTTTTAATATGAAAAATACTAAAATGAGCAATTAACAACAAATAACTAAGATATAGGAATTTGGTCGACTTGACATTAACATCATGTGTGCGAGCCATGTCATTATCTAATCAAAGACAATTTTAGCAAAAAATATGCACATATGAAAAAGGAGATATCTATTTTTTGGAAGAAATGACCAATGTGAGCTGTTCTTGAGTCGATCCTCAAGATCATAGCAATGCATGAAGGGGAATATAGTTAGGGTAGTGCTAAATAAAATATTCAAATGAAGTAAAATATATTAATGAATTAAGTTAGGAGCATTAATTCAGTCCATGTAATTCAAATGTAAAGCTAATTGTCGATAGAAATAGAACCTGATGACATTTGTAACATAAGTTAATTACTGGACCAACACCAATCAGGCATGTAGGCCTACATATACTGCCTGGTAAATGCATGTACTCATCAAACTTGTCTGATGGATATCATAATAGAGGAGTCAATTTCTTCCTTCTTTCCTTAAAGTTAATGCTATATAAAAGCATAATGTAACCTGATATAATCATGATAGTACTGAATCAGAAAACTGAGTTGCATACAACATGCTGCTTGTCCTTGCAAGGTCATGCATCATGCACTACTATGCCAAGTGTCATCATGCCACTAACATGGTATGCCCACCTTGACATGGGCAACATAGGTGGAAAAAGCATTGCTTAAAGCAAAACTAGTGAATTAAAACAATGTGATGAAACCAACCTAGTGATTCTGAACAGATATTAGACCATACTAGATCTAATCTCTTCAAAGCATCATAGGAGTAAGCCCCTCCAGCACCACCAACTTCATTACTTGAAGAAATCCTTTCCATGATCCTCTACAAATTTGTCCCAGATTTACTCAAATGTATGTATGGGCATCAAAACTAACAAGTTAACAGGACGTGAGAAGCAAAAGAAATAAGGTTTTAAAAAAATCAATGACAAAGATAACCCAGAAGAAGCACAATCATACATGCAATGACAATGTAGGTAGAAACCTAAAATAAGTTCCCATGGAAAAATTACATTCTGCATAGTGAAGGTTGCAGAAAAAACAAAATATAAGCTAAAACTAGTAAGTGAAAAATCCTTAATGACTATGGACATTTTATCAAGCTGGTCTATTATACAAGTAAATGCAATTTATGCAGGCACCACATAAAAATGATTTTATTAACACTAGAAGTCGTCTTCCATTAAGATATATTTATTTAGAATATTCTCCATAGAGCACTCCCTAAGTTCCAAAACTTATAGGATGAGATACAACATGGCACGACACAATGTTGAGATTCTAAATCAACAATGAGTTTGAGTCAAACTAGTTATGGTTAAGTTTTTTTTATTAAATTGGTATTCTGATCTCATGTATGTTAACCTTGACCAATGTGGCTCAAAGTCATCATCCAATTTATAAAAAGAAAAAAGTAAAACACAACATGGTGTCAAACAAAGATTCGCAAAAGAGTGAGTAGGTTAAAAAATTAAAAAAGATATACTAAATTATAGTTTGACCTTCAAGGTGAGATGATCCAGTTACACACAAAAATGGAAGGATGTTAAAAAATATTCATGTCTGAGATAAAGATTGAAAAGAAAACTATTCCAACTTGCTAAAACATTGAAAGAGTTCACGTATATTGAGTCTGACCCACAACTTAACAACTTAAGTTTTTGGGATTATTGATCGCCTAATTAAAATTTTTATCATGGTCTCAAACTAGATCATGAGTTTGAATCCTGCATTTGTCATATTTATTTTACCCAATATTTAATTAAAAATATTTCTGTAGTGCTCGTTCTTCCCTTGGACTTGCCCCATACACCTGGGTTTCAATGATCCATTTTTCCTTTTACTCAAGTAATCACATAAATTATTTCAACATATTAGTATCTAGCCTTGAATCTAAATTTATAGTTGTTCTTACTCCCCCTATTAGCTTGGTATGGTTTTCTCTTTTTTATGCAAGAAATCTTATCTATAGTTTCATGATAGCTAATAAGGCCATCCATTACTGCATAAAACTTTGCCTAGAGAGCCTCCTCAACAAAATCAAGTGGGACTTCATTATCGATATTTTCATACCTAGGAGATTGATGCAAAATGGTGTAACTAGATACAAAATGGTGTGATAGGCCAAAACATGACCCTGGATAAGGCAAAGCTCTACCGTCCCTCCTTGTTTTTTTTCCATAGATCTTCTCACCAGATCTCTGATCTAAGCAAACGTTGTAGATTCATTAGTTGGTTGAGCTCCAACAGGGTAGCCTAATATTTCCTACATTACATAGTTGAAAGTCTGAACTCCCATCCATTGTTAGGCGATTGGTCCTGGTGGGTTTTGTGCTCTCATCTCTCCTGCTTGACGACCTCTCCAGCTTTCATTTCCCTGCAAGTTTATGCTGGTTACACTGATTTTTTCCTCATTATAATGGTCAAAGAATGATCAAGGAGTTGGTAAGCTGGTCAATCATTTACAAAAGTAAACAGCAGGGTGTAGGAATCATCAATTTAAGTAATTTCAAATTAGCCCTCCAAGGAAAGTGATGGTAGGAGATCAATAGCAATTCCCCCTGCTAATGAAATGGGCCCCCATGGGACAATCATCTAGCAAGAAACTCATTCTACTCATTCCACTTGTTTGATTGGCATCTGCAGTCTCCTCTTTCTTCACAACGATGGAAGGTCTATTAGGCTATGGAAAGATAATTGGTCGATCCCTTCCCCACCGCTTCTCCCTCCTTCCTATCAAATTGAAAATAGCCTAGAATTTCAACTGGCGACTTTGAACTTGTTATCTAGACTCTCAACCCTATTTAGTTTCTATCCCTTCTATCTCTAATGTCTCTACTCTCTACGGTGAGGCTTGAGCACGTCTTTCTTTTACATTCTGCAAACACGATTACCTAGAAACAGATATATCGTAGTTTTTTTTAGCACCCTTTTACAGATTTCTCAGTTTTCGGAATGCCCTTTGTTCTATACCTAAGATCCTTTGGTAAGCCACTAGTATTCTTGAGGCCAGCCTCTAAGAATAGATTTCACTCCAGAGAGTTACCCTCCATGCGTCCTTCCCCTTTGTTCAGCAGCAACAGAGCCCACTGATCACATCCTCTGTGACCGCTATCCCGTTCAATCATTTTGGGATTAAGTCTACCTGTTCCAGTGCGGTCTTGCCGCCCTTTTCCTCCATCAGCCTGTTTCGGGATCCTGACGTACGCCTTCTCTTTTGAAGTGGCATACTATAGCAATGGCTTCATCCTGCTACCTAGCTATACTCCATTTGGAGGGAAGAAATGACAGAATATTTGAAAGAGGTTTCGTGTGCATCAGGAGCAGAGAAGAAGAGTTACTCGAGTTCTGGAAGGAAGCTCTGCTCGTGGGGAATGCGAAAAGGCCGTGGCAGCAGATGGCCTCCTGCTTGCGTTACATCTTCTCGTCGTCCCATCGAGAGTGGGGAAAGGACGGAACAAATGGATTTGGTGCAGCATCGCAACCAACTACCGGCGACCGAGGGCATCTTGCGAAGCGATATGATCATTTAAGAAACGATCGACCAGCCGCGACGTGTCCTGTACCGGACCGCTCATGCGCATTGTTGCTGATCCACGGAAGTTGGTAACGGTGAGACGGACGACGCTGAATGGCCCCAGGGTTGTGCACGCGCCGCTTTGTCTCTGTTAAAGGAGAACCCCGAATCAAAGTGTTAAGTTTAAATTTATATGTAATTGTTGGTATATATTGGTCGTTGACACTTCAGGTTATGTATTTGCTGTCATACTAAACAATAAATTCAACAAAAAATAATGGCATATCATAAAAGATCTTTTATTATAATTATATATATTTATAAAAAATAATGAATCAATTCATCCATTATATGTTACAAATATATATATATATATATATATATATATGTATACATACATATATACATACATACACATATATATATATACATTATATATATACATATATATATATACATACATACATACATACATACATATACACATCAAAATTCACCATGTTGCATGCTTTACACATTACTAAAACTGACCTGTTGCCATTAGAAAAATTAAGACTGCCGAGCACGCTCCAAAATCACAATTATACATTTGTTATAATACAACGAACACAAAATTTTGCCTAGAGAAACTTTAATGTTCTCACCGAAGATTGGAGACATGAAGACTCGAACTTTATCATTAGTTATAGGCATCAATTGCAGCACAAAAGATTACTTCAAGGTGAAGTAATGATGAATAATCTTTAGATGTTTATGGTAATAGTTAAATGTGCAGTACCTTGGCACTTGTTCTTTTGGATTTTCTAATAAGCTAGATAAAATATAGTAGATCATAGTAAAAATGGTGAGAACACCAAAGCTTGATCTAGGAACTCAAACATTACCACCTTAAGCAGTCAAATATTACCATTACAAACGTATTGCAACCTCAAAAACATGACACCGGTTTTCTTCGAGCAGTCTATTCTCTGCACTGTACAATTTTCATGATACCAACAAGACGAGTTATATTTTCATAAAATGCATACATCCTCATAAGCCAAATCTACAGCATTAGCGGTTACCTCTTCCTCCTCTTGGGTTCAGCCTGCAACAAGCATTAAAGTGATCACTGCTAATTCCCCAGGATATCTAGTGTTAAACAATCTTAGAAATAAATCTCATTCTTATATATTACTTGGAATGGGACGCCCGGAAGCTTGATATAGTTTTTGTTTTTCTCATATGGATATTAGAAGTATAAAATTAAACGACAATTTTGGTATAAGGCACAACTAAGTTCCTTCTTCAATTGCACTACAATTTTTTTTACCTCAAATGTTAAGAAAAACCTCCCTTTTTACATGTATTGAAACCTGTTACATGTTACAAATGACCAAACGAGGGGATTATTTAAACCAAATGTAATAGTTAAGAATGATGATTAGATATGTTCAAGAGCAGCCTCTGACTTTTTTTCTACCTCCTCTGACTGTTATGCACATGAATATTCAACAAAGTCCAGGAAAAAAAAACAATTTCATTTTGCATTACTTTTACTTCCAAAGAGGATATAATTAGAAAACAATTTCACTATGCTGACCTTCATGTAGTTCATCAACCAACACAGAATTTTGGTCTGTGTAATGCACGTTATTAAATATGTTGTGCATGGAATATGTGCATGAATGCCATTCAAAATGTAAGTTTTTCATTTATTTGCAGATTATGCCATGGTTGCAAACCACAAGAAAACAATAATATTTTAGTTTATATCATGCAGCATTTACTATGAAGTCTACTTATAGTGGAATGCTAAACATAACATAAACATGTTCAGCAAATAATGCTTCTAGTTTTATGCCGGATAAGATTGTAAAGGGATGTTTAATATACATATTAAGGAAAAAGGAAGAGAAACCTAAGCACGAGTATGCTACACAAAATAATATTTTCTTATACTGATGTCTATGGAACATATTTTTCCTCTGAACTTCTTAATATTAGCTGAAACAAGAACAAATATAAATGACAGGGTTCATACATGTGATCATTATCTAGCGACTGTTACATAGCAAGAACGCCGAAATAACATGTGACTTGGAACTTCATCCACACAACACAGTTCCCAGGATTGCATCCAAAAAAACCTAAGAATTGCTAAGCTGCCTTCAAGTTCTATGCACACGAAAAGCATAAAATTGTCTTAGAAATTGTCTCAAGGAAAGTTCAATTTGTCGTCTCTAGGTAAACATACTCGTGGCAAACAAAAAGTTTTGCCAAGGCATTGTCCTTCTAACTCTTCATATCTGATCAGTTACATTATCTTCTAATCCAATTTTGTTCAATTCTCAGCATTATAGCTAGAAATTGGTCGAAATATGCTAGAATAGATTAAACTTAACTGGACTTGAAATTGGCCAAATCTAGCCAATTTGATAACTTAAAATTTAGAATAGTGACAAGATGGGAAGGAGAACAGAAAAGTAGAGATAGAAAGAACCCACAAAAGAAATCAGTGACCATGTTTGTGAAGCAAAGGAAGGTTCTAACAACTAAAAAGGACAGGTTGGTGCACAGTTCTCCTACCAATATGGGGTCTAAAGAGAGTCTATAAGTGCTGCTAATGTTATGTTTGTCATTTGCTACAACTATTATATTTATCAGTTGCGGCCATTGTTGTAATATTCGCCTTCCACTAGTGCACTGGATAGGATAGAATAACAGGCAAGATAGGAGAGATAAAGTTCTTTAAAATACCAAACCCAAAAAGCATCAGCCCCTTCCGTAGCCAAGAAATCTTGATTTCATGAGTTCACAGGTTGCTCATGAAAATGACCAGAATCAGTTGTAATATGCTGGAAATAATGAAAGATTGGGCTTCAGCCAAACTCACTGAGATTTGCTGATCTTTGTGAGGACCAACCAATTACAACAGGTGAAGACTCGTTCCCAAAGGAGAGGATCGGTAGGCTTGTCACTATTAAGGGCCAACTGCAGTAGCCGGAGGAGAAGGGCAGGAGAATAGGAAGAAGAGTGGATCACACCAATCTAGTCATTGCTTGCTCGATGACTTTTTAGTGCAGGGCCATTTTAATTTAATTTTCTATGAAAAAATTATTAGTTTACATGACCTTTTGCAAAATTGTCATATGGCAACATATTATATGATTCTACACTAGTTATAAAGTTTACTCAGCAAGGAGCAAATAGGGTGCTAAACAAAAAAGGAGCATCTCTAGACTAGATTGGAGATTCTAACAAAAAAGGATGGACATCAGTCATGCGATCGATCGGAGATTCCAAGTCCATTGAGGATTTAATCCTGTAATAAGTCTCATCATGATTGAAAAATAAATATTTTACCAAAAAATCTACAAAGTGCACAAATCCCTAAGAATACTTATTAAAGTGCACAAATCTGGGAGGAGATTCCAAGTTTTATTTCCCACAGTCTGAGAGGTAAAAGGTCACATCCCTAAGAATACTTATTAAAGTGCACAAATCTGGTACTTATTCCTGATGGTGTATAATGATCATCCACATAGGTAATAGGTGGAGCTATGAAAACTTCATACATGAGAGTTAATCTTTGAGCCAGAGTGAGTTATTTACAATTTCTCACTTTTGTCTTCTCCAATATCTTCTCATCTCCATTCAACAACTACCAAATTCTCAAAAAAATGAAGTATTCTTTGTTCCAAGAGTACTCCAATTCATCTGCCCTACATCAGATTTGGTATCATAGTCACTTGTACTACATTAGATTGACATCAAAGCAATGTTTACATCATATTGGAACCATAACAACTTATCCTATATCCTTCCCACTTACCACCAAAAAGCTATCACATCTTCATTGCGAGCAATACAACACTACGCCTCATCCACTATTGTAAACACTGCCAGTCTTGAAGAAAGATGTAGCATGAGAGATGTCTGAATAGTAAGGCACAAGGTTTGATGACTAATCCATATGACTACTTCTTGATGCTAGTGCCAGACTCTTGATTCTTTAAAACCTTATGTGACATTTTTGTACAAGAAAAACTAAGAATGTTATCAATTTCATTTAATAGTTCAAACAACAATTAAATACTTTATTCCCATCTTTCTTGTCCCTTTCACACAATTTTTATGCAGAAACATCTAAACATGAATTTTAGATTACTAGAAATTACTTAGAGATTTAATATTATTTAATATTTAATTTTTATACATGAATGTGTTTTTATGACTTTCAATAAAAGGATACCTCTACCCTATATTCTTTAGTTTACTAAGTTAATCACTTAGACGTGTACTTATATTTGACCCATATCAGTAGCTGGCTGAACCAGTACAGGTCTGGTTTTTTGCTTTTTCTTTTTACTAAGTCCATGCTTTAAAAAAATAAATAAATAAAACAGACCGAACTGCTCAAAAAGCAACTATCAATGTCCTAGTTCACAATGGTATTAGATCCAGGTGAAAGCTTATACCATGGTGCTTTAAAAAATAAAATCTACCACATAACGTAACAAAAATAGCATAGATATATCATTTAATAGCATTAGAACTTAAGACAAATCTAGGATTGATGCATACAATACCATAAGCACATGTTAAGTGGATACAAGACATCTAATATCTCTCCAAAATCAGAAAGTGGAAGTTTGCATGAAAAACAATTTAGTATGGCTTACATCAATAAAGAAATAGGGGAAAGTATATAAAATTCATCACCTTGGGCTCAGAAACTGATGAAGCTGGGAACCCATTTATAGATCTACTAGCATCATTTTCGGAGTCACAATCTGAGCATAGAAAGTGATCTAATTTTTTTGCTTGTTCAATTGTCATGCCCATGCAAGATGGATGGAACCTGTTAACATGATCATTTTTACAATCTCAAACCAAAGCAAATGAACCAAATTTGCTTTTATTAAAAAAAGTGTGACATGAACTAAAGTTTTTGTACAACAGAGAAGCAAAATAAGAATAAAAGACAATAGTCTTCAATGCCAAAATTCTCCAGGTGCAACACAAGAATAAATTACAAAACCAAAATGATAATCACGAAGCTTGACAGAATATCAATATCAGCACCTAAAAGAGCACAAATGAATGCTGGCATTATCGATAGAAATTATAATACACTGCAATGAAATGCATCT